AATGCGTTCCCGTAATTTTTCCATATCTTTTTTATCATCTGCACCTTGTTTTTGAAGTTTTTCTAGATTGCTAACAACACTGGTATGCTTTTGATTTAACTCTTTAAACTTCCTCTCATAGTGTACACTTTTAATTTTGAATTTAACTCTCTCGGAATTCACTCGGTCGTGCCTGAGTCTTACGTTATCTATAAATTCCTTGATATATTCTAAGGTTGGAAAGAAGTCCATCAGTTCTATGGTATTAAGTTCCGCACAAGGAAACATTGACATAGCTTTCTGTTCTTTGAATTTTCTCATTCTTTCTGCGTCACGACGTAACTTTGATTTGGATTTAACTTTAACAACTTTCACGTCCGGTTGTCTGTGAAAGTTACACATTCTGGCGAAATGTCCAAAATTTCTGCACTTATAGCAAAATGACGTTTTTGCTATACATTGTCTAAAATGAAATTGATTGTTCACAGTCTTTCCACAAAGCTTACATAGGTAGTTGTCCATATGTTGAAAATTTCTTGTCTGAAAGGTAGTTCCATGATCAGACATCTGGTATCTCCAGTCTCGGCCAAAATTTCTGGTTCTCCGCGTATCCATTTTTCTGTTTGCTGGGGGATCAGCTTCACAGGTAGAACAAGGTAGATCCGATAGATGCGTTGCCCGGATGTCCTAACACCAGATATAGCCGGGTAAAATGGCGTTCCGGCTAAATGGAAATCAAGAAGGAATATTTCGCTCCTTAAACTTTTATTTAAGCAGTCCGGCAAGACCGAACAACAAACTCCAAACCATATGTAAAGTAACATACAAACAATAACAATATATATAAGCACAAGCAATTAAAGGATTAAGATGATTAACATATGCCAAATAGAAATAACAATAGTTTAGAAGAGTAATTGATGTCCGACACGTATAAGTAAATTATTGTCTAAACTGTTACAGAGAATAAGTAATTAAATGAATAGAGTAAATGAATTTAAGTCCTTTGTCCAAGATTATGACATATAATCCGTGTAAAACACTTATGCCTAAATTTACGACAAAGTTCAGAATAATAAAATAAATGCAAAACCTAAATATACATTAAAACAATTGAATAAATAAAATGTTGTTTAAAACTATTTTCACACTGCACAGTCTAAATAGTCCGGTCATAGATGTACAAAATAGATAACAATTTGATTCAGGCGGAAACACCTTTATTGCTTTCAATAGACCGACAAGAAATTACGCAAATTCTTAAGCGAATCAAAAACAGTAAAGCTAGTGGGTTCGACAACATACCCAATGAATTTCTAAAATACGGTGGTGATATACTTGTTGATTCCCTTGTTGAACTTTTCACTAAGATAACCGATTTGGAATGCATTCCTGTTGAATGGCATAAAGGTATTGTAAAATTAATTCACAAAGGAGGTTCGGTTCATGATTTGGCAATTTACAGGGGCATAACCTTAACTTCAAATGTATATAAGGTTTATTGTAAAATTATTGAGGACAAAATTATGAATTATATTGAAGATAAGAACTTATTAGGTGAAACTCAAGGCGCCTTTAGAAAAGACAGAAGAGTTGAAGATCATATTTTCACTCTTCATGGGCTCTGCTCCTTAAGAAAAACAAAAAAAGAAAAAACGTTTCTAGCTTTCTTAGATCTATCCTCTGCTTTTGATAAAGTCTGGAGAGATGGTCTTTTTTATCTTCTTTGGCAAAATGGTATTCAAGAAAAATGCTGGAAACTACTACGTTCCCTCTATAAAAAAGTAAGTAACAAGGTCATTTTTGGGAATTACGAATCAGACTGGTTTGATCAAGAATTTGGCCTAAAACAAGGATGTATATTATCTCCTACACTATTTTCTATTCTAATGTCTGATCTTGTCTCAATGATAAAAGAAAAGAATCTCGGTATCAATGTAGCGACTGAAGTTATAGGTAGTCTACTCTTCGCAGATGATATTGTTTTACTAGGGAAACTAAGAAGAATTACAAACCCTATTGAATATTGCCAGTGAATTTGTTTCTAAATGGAACCTAAAGTTTAATGCCAAAAAATCAAAAGTTCTAGTGGTAGGAAAAAGACTTAACGCATACAAAAGTTAAACTGGTTTAGGTGATGTTTTAATTGATGAAGTATACGAATATAAATACTTGGGAGTTTATTTCTCAAGAACGTTAAAATTTAATCATCATATCGAGAAATACCTTGAGGAAAACTTTGAAAAGAAACTTAACTATATTATTCGCGTTTTAGGAGAACATGGCGATTTTAATCGGTTTAATTTTGGCTGTGCTTTGTGGATTTCGGTTATACGTCCATCCATTGCTCATGCTTGTGGTGTATGGTACCTAACGTCAAAATCCGGAACCGAAATGCTAGACAGCTGGCAGTACAAAGTCGCAAAAGTTATAATAAACTCTAAAATGAACTTTCCAAAATGCTCTGTGTTATCAGAGTTAGGATGGGAATCTCTAACAAATTATATGGACCGTCAAAGGATCACATATTTTGCTAGATTAGACTCTCTACCTGGTACAAGATATTGCAAAATGATTTTTACCGAACTTAAGTTATTAAAAAATTCGTAAGGGTTCCGCGGAACCCAGTGTCTCGCCTACTTTTTCTGTTAATCGCAGGCTCAACAAAAATGAGGAAGTAAATCAATAAAAATATTCCTCTTGATACTGTCTTTTGGTTGTAAGAAGCTTCTGTCCAAGTTTGGTAAAAATCCAGGATAGTTTAGGAATCTAATAAATGTTTAAAAACTTTAACTGCAGACTGAATGTAATGTTAACTGGAAGAAAACAAAATTTCCTTCTGGATACTACCATTTGATCATAAACAAGCTTCTGTCCAACTTTGGTACAAATCCAAAATAGTATAAGAAAGTTATTAAAATTTTAAAAACTTTAACCACAGAGTGAATGTGTTGTTTCCTGGCAGAAAATCTAAGTCCATTTAAAAGTAAAATACGGAAAAAATGGATTTATTTTTTACAAAATGTCCTTCTAGATACTTGCTTTTGATCATAAACAAGCTTCTGTCCAAGTTTGGTACAAATCCAGGATAGTTAAAGTTATTAAAATTTTAAAAACTTTAACCACAGAGTGAATGTGTTGTTTCCTGACAGAAAATCTAAGCCCATTTAAAAGTAAAATAAGGAAAAGATGGATTTATTTTTTTACAAAATTTACTTCTGGATACTATCTTATGATCATAAACAAGCTTCTGTCCAAGTTTGGTACAAACCCAGGATAGTTTAAGAAAGTTATTAAAATTTTAAAAACTTTAACCACAGAGTGAATGTAATATTTCCCGGCAGAAAAACTAAGTCCATTTATAAGTAAAATACGGAAAAAATGGAATATTATTTTTACAAAATTTACTTCTGGATACTATCTTATGATCATAAACAAGCTTCTATCCAAGTTTGGTAGAAATCCAGGATAGTTTAAGAAAGTTATTAAAATTTCAAAAACTTTAACCACAGAGTGAATATTTGTGGACGCCGCCGACGACAACGACGACGCCGACGCCGACGGAATGTAGGATCGCTATGTCTCGCTTTTTCGACAAAAGTCGAAGGCTCGACAAAAATGAATATTTTAATCATATAAATGGCATATTCCAGTCCACTGGACTGGACCATTATATACATGGAAACGTTAATATAAAAACATTTAATAAGCTTTTTGGTATTGACGCTTGTAATAAGCTGAAGTCCGAAATTCTAGAAAAGCGAAGCCTAGGTGATTACCGTTCATTTTATGTCGCACAAGCACGACAATCGTATTTATCAAATGTAGACGATTTTTGGGCCTCTCGTCTTAAATTTCTGGCTAGAACGAATTGTCTTCCATTGAATGCTGTTTTATTCCGCATGAAATTGAAGGATAGTAATGCATGTGAAACGTGTTGTACTGAAGAATCCGTTTTACATATACTGTTAGAATGCCAAGCATATACTGATATTCGAGAACGTTTCCTTTCTGATTTGCACGATTTCCTTCTTAATGCAGGAACCGGCGTGTTTTTCTCAGAGTTGCCTCGTTTTAATAAACTTCAATTTATTATCGGTGATGATATCGGAAAAAAGGTTGATGAAATGGGAAAACAATATCTAACCTCACTCATTAAAGCTCGCAATGAGTTGTTGCATGTTAATGTCTAAATTATTTAAATGTATGAAAGTTTGAAATTGTGTCAAGTTTATGTGAATATGCATGTATTTTCAGAAAAAGTCTATGTATATATGTGTAATCTTTTAAAAATGTCGCAACGTACTTTTACGGTTTCTTTTATTCACTTTTATAATTTTTATTACCAAATGTTGGGTTTTAAAAGAAATTGTTTTACGAATATATTGACATTTTTAATGATAGTGATGTTTTTATTTATGTACACTGTATTTATAATATTTATAGTTTGTATGACGCAAACACTAATACCCTGTTGGTGTTTGTCCCCGATGTAAAGGGGTAGTTTCTCAATAAATATATATATATATATATATATATATATATATATATATATATATATTAGGGATGTTATAAATTAAAGAACAAAAGATTGCTCGCTCGTACTTTTACTTGAAATTAATAGTTTTGTTTAGTTGAAACTTATTTTATTTGCTGAAAATATTGCAAAAAGCATAAGACACATGTTAGTCAAACTTAAGATACAAAATAGACACTAGAATCTCATAAAATTGAGAATGGAAATGGGGAATGTGTCAAAGAGACAACAACCCGACCATAGAACAGACAACAGCAGGTCACCAACAGGTCTTCAATGCAGCGAGAAATTCAAGCACCCGGAGGCGTCCTTCAGCTGGCCCCTAAACAAATATATATACTATATATAGCATGTAAATGCTCAAATATATTGTAATATATAATTTTATACAAAACACATGTTTTTGAAGAGGCATTACTTACGATTAAGACTAACACAAGTAGAATATGTTTGAAGAAGATGAATATAAATATTGTGACAGATATTAGTGTACACATATTTTATTAATTAAATTCAAGTTACTTGTATGAATTCATCATTTATACTGCCTGTCTGCATCCACTATAAACGCTTCTGTATCTACTTTTACCTGAATTCATCATTTATACTGCCTGTCTGCATCCACTATAAACGTTTCTGTCTCTACTTTTACCTGAATTCGTCATTTATACTGCCTATCTGCATCCACTATAAACGCTTCTGTCTCTACGTTTACATGAATTCATCATTCATACTGCCTGTCTGCATCCACTATAAACGCTTCTGTCTATACTTTTTCCTGGATTCATCATTTATCCTGCCTGTCTGCATCCACTATAAACGTTTCTGTCTCTACTTTTACCTGAATTCATCATTTATACTGCCTGTCTGCATCCACTATAAACGCTTCTGTCTATACTTTTTCCTGGATTCATCATTTATACTGCCTGTCTGCATCCACTATAAACGCTTTTGTTTCTACTTTTACGTGAATTCGTCATTTATACTGCCTGTCTGCATCCACTATAAACGTTTCTGTCTCTACTTTTACCTGAATTCGTCATTTATACTGCCTGTCTGCATCCACTATAAACGCTTCTGTCTCTACTTTTACCTGAGTTCGTCATTTATACTGCCTGTCTGAATCCACTATCAACGCTTCTGTTTCTACTTTTTACCTGAATTCATCATTTATACTGCCTGTCTGCATACACTATAAACGCTTCTGTTTCTACTTTTACCTGAATTCATCATTTATACTGCCTGTCTGCATCCACTATAAACGTTTCTGTCTCTACTTTTACCTGAATTCGTAATTATTGTAATGAAGTGACAATGTAAATTAGTGATAATAAAATCTGCTCAATAAGCCATGAAACTAATCTAGTGTAACCTTCAGTCCTTGTATAATCAGTCTTCATAAACAATGTTAATATGTTCTAAAAATTTTCATAAATAGTTGCCAATTTTTCTTAAAACAAAAATGATTTCCATCATCTTTTTCTGAGTCTGGGACAGACATTTAACTTTGGCAGAGTCAGTCATTTCAAGTCATTTAACAGCACATTTCAAAAGTACAAAACAAAAAAATGTATGCAAATAAAAACATAAAACTATTTACAATTATATTAAAGGCTGAAATTTGTAATTAAAGACACAAACATAATCTCTATGGGTCAGTTCTCCTCTTGTATAATTCAGGGATTTTTCAAATGTTTCCTTTTTATGAAGGTAGGCTTGATTGTTACTTAGAACTGCATAATTTAATATTTTTTGCAATCAAAATTTTTATCAAAGTTCCTCCCTCTTTTCGATTGCTAAGCCAGACAGTAATCTGGTGTCAAAGATATCGGATATAATAATCCAGTGTTGATTTCCATGATTCTAGTTGGATGTTTCTAAGGATTGTACATATTCAGACAAATCTCTTACTGGTAATCATGGTAATTGTTACCCGTTGCGGTGTTTACTATCATGAACAATGTTAGGTGTGTAATTGCTTTGTCCATGCCACTTTGATCAAAACATTTCATTATCACTTCATTAGCTGCATGCCCTAACTTTGATCAAAACGTTTCATTATCACTTCTTTAGCTGCATGCCCTAACTTTGATCAAAACATTTCATTATCACTTCTTTAGCTGCATGCCCTAACTTTGATCAAAACGTTTCATTATTACTTCTTTAGCTGCATGTCCTAACTTTGAACAAAATATTTCATTATTACTTCTTTAGCTGCATGTCCTAACTTTGATCAAAACATTTCATTATCACTTCTTTAGCTGGCCTGCATGCCCTAACTTTGATCAAAACATTTCATTATCACTTCATTAGCTGCATTTCCTAACTTTGATCAAAACGTTTCATTATCACTTCTTTAGCTGCATGCCCTAATTTGATCAAAACGTTTCATTATCACTTCATTAGCTGCATGTCCTAACTTTGATCAAAACGTTTCATTATCACTTCATTAGCTGCATGTCCTAGCTTTGGATTTATGTATTCAGGATGTACATTTGTGTTTCAACATCAAAACCATTATTTTCATCTTCAATGTATTCTTCATCATTCTGACACTCATTCAGGTCTTCTTCAGCAATCTCACATTCATTCATGTCTTCTTCAATAACATTCTTTTCTTTGTCAATAAGTTTTAATATATAATCATCACTACTCTGTTCTACAATTACTTTATTCCTTTGACCTTTATTGTGGATCTTCATGTGTCTTGTAACTGATTTTTTGTGTGCAAAGACCTGATCACATAAAAGACACTGATATGGTTTTTTATTGGTATGAGTTTTTTCATGATAGACCAATGATCTACGATAAGCAAACCTAAAATTACAGATTTCACATTTATAAGGTTTATCCTTAAGATGTGTTTCTGAATGATTTATAAGAGCTGCTTTATCAATAAATTCTTCAGAACAAGTATTGCATTTAAATGGTTTTCCTCCAAAATGTACCGCATTAATATGACGAATGAGATTGCAATGCCAGCGGAATGTCTGTCCACAATGCTCACACTGGAGACCTTTTGTTTCTGTATGTATCTGTTTATGTGAAACCAAGTTTCTTGGGTCTGCGAACCCTTTATGACATATATCACAGACATGAGATTTATTGCCAGTGTGGATTTTGAGATGTATTCTGTAGGCTGTGACTAAATAAAACCCTTTACCACAATATTCACATTTGAACTGGCGATCATCATTTTTAATATGTATTTTTACATGTTTTCGTTTGTCATACTCGCTAGCAAATTTCTTTTGACAAGTTTCACATTCAAATGGTTTTTCAGTATTATGGCGTTTCTGATGTTTTCTCATTGTACTGGGATCACGGAAACCAATTCCACATACAGTGCAGGCATAGGGCTTCTCTCCTGTAATGAGATATCAATAAAAACATGAACTTAATGAATAATTAAAGAATTCTTTCTAATATTTAAACAAAGGAATTTGTACCAAAAAAAGTAAATACAATTACATTCCATAGGGTTAACAAACATGACAGAGATCTTTGTGCAACCAACACTACCATGTTTGCCACCGCACCAGATCAAATTAAATGAAGACCATTTGTAGGCAGCCTTCTTATTATCAATTCTCTTACATGTAAGTTTGAAAACATTTTGCATTTTTTTTAAATTGGCCAATCAGAATCAAAGATTGTCTCTGGACAAACATGTATAGTCAGGAATCTGATGTTCAGTAGTTGTTGTTTGTTGATGTGGTTCATAAGTGTTTCTCGTTTCTCGTTTTTTATATACATGTAGATTAGACTGTTGGTTTTCCCTTTTGAGTGGTTTTACACTAGTAATTTTGGGGGCCCTTTATAGCTTGCTGTTTGGTGTGAGCCAAGGCTCTGTGTTGAAGACCGTACTTTGACCTATAATGGTTTACTTTTATAAATTTTGACTTGGATGGAGAGTTGTCTCATTGGCACTCATACCACATCTTATATCTATATAACATATATATATATAAACAGTGTTCCCCCTGTGGCCTTTTAGCTATTTAAAATGATGTTCTTATATATAGATTGTGTTATGGATGTGATGCTATAATTTCTAGAAACAAGATGGTATTTAATAATTCCCTTTTAACCAGGATGCTATTTGAAAGTTGAAGGGAGAACACTGTATATATAAGTGTTTCTCGTAATATTTTATAAATTTTAATTTACAAAGGAACTATATTCAAGTATATATTAAAAGTTAAGTAGTTGTTCACAACTGATCAGGTTGTTCAGTTTTTCTTTTTATACCATATTTTGACCTTTGGTTGTTCTATATCAGTTGCTTTCACATTTGCATTGGATTATACATGTACAAAAAAAAATGTACATTGTTAAAGTATTCATTCTTTTTTTCAGTTGCTTTACTGACATTTCCAATCAAGATTGGTGGAACTTTTTTTTACCAATTGATTAGAAAAATATTTTTGGGTAAGATTTTTTACTTGACTGCAATATTAGAGTAATTATATATAGTCAAGTGACCTTTATATCAATAAATGTTTTAGATACGGCACAATTTATACGATCTAAATCAGTAACAAGTAAGGATTATTGTCTATAGAAAGAAAAAGACAAACAACAGTACACAAAATCTAAATTCAGGCAGTACTTTAAATTTACAAGAGAATATTTGAACCAAGCATCCTACATAAAATCCAGGCAATTAATTATTTATGTTTGACATACACATACATGTATATTATAATTGTGAATATTTTAAATATGACTTTGCATCTAAAAATAACAATGCTTATTCTGCTCATTGTGCTTAAAATTTAATGTACATGTATCATTACCTGTATGAATAGTCTTGTGTCTTGTAAAGCTGATTTTTTCAGCAAATGCTTTACCACAATCGTGACAAGTATATGCTTTCTTTGAATCATGTACTCTGTAGTGCCTAGTCAATGATTCTCTCAATACATATCTATTTCCACACACATCACATACATAAGGTTTCTCTTCACCATGAATCTGTACATGCTCATTGCAAGCAGCTTTTGTGATAAAAGATTTTAGACATATGCCACAAGTAAACAAATTCAGTCCATGGTCAGTTCTCAAATGTCCTTTTAAACCATTTTCACTTTTAAATCTTCTAGCACACATACTACACTTGACCTTTTTTCCATATTTATCCACTTTATCATTTTGATCGATGGAATGGAGTTCTGATTCATTTTCACTTTCAGGCTCCTGTTTAATTTCCATGTCTAAATCTGTGGTAACACTACATGTTACACTGTGTACTTTGAGTAGTTGTTCATTTTCAAAGTCAGTGCTACATTCATAACAGTGATATTTCACAATATTTCGACTTGGTTGATTCTTTCTTTTTGATTTTCTCTTAGAATTGTCATTAGACAACTGTAACTTTGAGCAATCTTCTTTAAAGTTTTTGTTGTGGATCTCCTTTCTTAGAAGAATATTTTCCTCTGTCATGCTATTCAATTCTGAATCATTGTCCTTTTCTAAATCAAAAGCATGAATGATTTTTATTCCTTTTTTGTCCATTTTTCAATTTTTCACCTCTGTAGTCAATATGGAGAGATTGAAAGACAATTTACTCCTATTGGACCTTTGTAATTGCAGCACAGTTATATTCTTGTTTATAAGTCTTGACATACTAATGTAGTCAAACTTAAATATAAAAATTCCATCAGATGTAATCTTCATCAATTATGATTTTCTCAACTGATGGACTTCCTTTAATAATACAAAGCAATTATTCTGAGAAGAGCTGTATTACATGTACATTGTAGATTGTGTACAACCCACAAAAAGATATGTATTTTGTGTCTGAAAAATAAAATGAAGTTTAATTGTATTTAATGTGTAAGAGTAAGAGTAGATAATAATGTGTAAGAGTAGATACTGGAATGAAAATACTTGATTCCTATTACCTATATTGTCACCTTTGTAATTCCTGGTATGGAATAATCCCGTTACTAGATGTATACCAGTCTAGCTAGTACCCACAAAAGAAGTCCCTTAATAAATCTACCATCTTTCAAATAGGATATTGTACCAAGATGAAAATTATGTAAAGATGCTTAAATTTGTAACATATTCAAAAGCTATTTATTAAACTTTAAATAAATTAAATTAAATTAACTGTTAAGTGATTCTGAAATGTATAGGGTGGATAATTGTCTTGAGTAAATGGTTCAAATTTTATTTTCCATTTTAACCAGGAAGTTAATAAAATGACCCTATTAATACTCATAACAGTATTTCTCTCTTAAATGCTGGTCATGACCCTTCGGGAAATATAATTATACATGTATCTAAAGTATGCAATATCATTACCCCTAGAACTAAATTAGTAATTATTCATGTTGATTGTTAATAAATAGAATTGGGAATTGAAACAGGGAATGGGGAAACATACCAATATCATTCATTTTTAAAAACTGAATCATGTAAAAGGAATAAAATTTAAATAAATTAAACCGCCTACCAATGTTTTACAATAATTAGTATAGTAAAGTTTGTTAAAAAACTAAAATATCAATTGACCAGTAATTGTCACTTTTGACCACCGTTTAATACTGCCCAACCTTGATTAAGTATAATTTGGGCTAGGGCATTTGTAGGGAGGACATTGTCTGTAATTTATAATTCTAAAATGTAAACACAATTGATGGCCTCAATAATAATATCAAAATCATTTTACTATACATAATTTTAATATGAGGACAAAGCCCTCAATAGCAGTGGAAAAATCAATAAAAAGAAAAATCTATATACTAATTAATAAATCCAAGATCGTTAACTTTTTTTCAGACTTCCACATTTGCAGAGAAATCCTTTTCAGTATAGTTTCTTGGACGTTAAACAAACAACAATCAATCAATCAGTATCGTTTCTCTCCTCTTTGGACCTTGTGTAAAATATAAGGAAGGAGCATCATATTTGTTGTATCTGATTACCAAAAGAATATTAGCAGTTAAACAATGAAAATAAATTCTGTTTCATTTTTAAATGAGTCTAGTGCTTATTCAACATATGATTTTATAAACAAAATGATTTCTCTGGGGAAAATCACCTGATCAAGCAGGCAGAATTTGTATCAGGGAATCAGACAAACAAATATTTTAATAGGCCTAATGTCTTTTTGGGACATATTAAACACTTTTCTATATTTCAATTACTATTTAGACAGAAATTATGATTGGAATTTGTTTTTGCAATTTTGCAATTTTTTGTTCAGCCCTCAGTCATCAAGCCAATATGATGTAGCTATAGAGTATCTCAAAAGTAATAGATTGTTTTTAAATGATACATTATAATATACATGTTATACAGACTTCTTCCTCTTTCATAGGTAACATCAGCCTCATATTATGAGAAATTGGGAGAAAGACCAAGAATAAGTTCCAGTAAGATTGTTAGACTACTTTAAACAAATAGCAGTCTCAGTCTCAAGTAAACTATATATAGCTACCATTTGGATTTCAATGAACTTAATCTTTATGCATTGCTGTTAAATTATTAAATTAGGGATTTCTTTATCACAAATTACTTAAAACCTTTACTAAATTCTTCCATAGATACAAAGATTTGGTATGGGAGTTTTGCTTTACCTGTAGAAAACTTATTTCAAATAGGATAGCACATCCTAATTTTTATGGAGATGTTGTTTACCGAGCCCTGAAATTTAGTTATGATCCTGGTAAACCTATTGATCCTTTAAATAACAACCCTGCCACATTCTGTATGTGCCTGTCCCAAGTCAGGAGCCTGTAACTCAGTTGTTGTCGTTTGTTGCTGTGTTACATATTTGTTTTTTGTTCATTATTTTTTACATAAATTAGGCCGTTACTTTTCTCGTTTGAATTGTTTTACATTTGTCATTTTGGGGGCTTTTATAGCTGACTATGCGGTAAGGGCTTTGCTCGTTGTTGAAGGCCGTATGGTGACCTATAGTTGTTAATTTCTGTGTCATTTGGTCTCTCTTCAAGAGTTGTCTCATTGGCAATCATACATCTTCTTTTTTATAATTATTCTAAAAGGCTGCCAATTCAACTCTCTAGTTAAACAGTCAGAGCTCAGACATAAACAAGTCGATTTTTGTTTTTGACTTATATAAGTCAAAAAATGTATTTGTTATAAAAATGTACTTTCATTTTCAGACTTATTTAAGTCAGAAAATGACAGACTTGTTTAGGTCTATTTATGTTTATGAAAAGACTTAATTTTAATTAGTGGCCCAAGTGCACCACCTATGACATCATTAACCTGTGTGAGAGTTCACAATGTCCTGAGCTATCTATATTTAATTATCTAATTGAACATGTTTACTTAACATAGATTATTTTCCTCATTTTGTGTGATTACACGTACAGATTGTTGCATTGTAAAGTAGATAAACATTATCTCTGATTTTTTAGACTCTCATGCATATTTTTCCTTAGAAGACAAAGCATTGTCTTTCAATGTTTCATAATTTCATGTAGATGCATGACCTTTTTATAAAAATGCATGGGTCTTGAAGTTGGTCAATTTTGGTAACTTATTGACTTGTAGGAGTCAATATTTGTAACTCTTTAATTTAGGTCAAATATTTCTTGCTTAACACTAATTGACTTATTGAAGTCAAAATTTGTCTTAAATTAAAGGGAGACAAATCTTGAAACTTTCAAATTTAGACCTCTATGAGTCAAAAGCAGATCTAGACTTATTTTTGTCTGAGCTCTGACTGTTAAATCTTTGAATATTGTTTTTATTAGTATAAATATTGATTTTGTTATCAGTTAATTAAAACCAAACTAAATATTATTGTTATATGTATACATAGGTACATCTGGGAACAGTATATCTAACGGGAAATGAATCTGATACGCTTTTCAGTATAAAATTGATAAAATCTCGGACTCCCCGAGACTTCCCGAGACTTACGGATTTTGGTAGCGTCTGACTGAAAAACTATCAGAACTGCTCAACAAATAAACGACATAACTCTAATTGTAAATAAATACAAGTTTTATCATTTAGTAGATATATTTTGTCATATAAAATTACCAAAATAAGTTTGATTTATTTGATGTGAAGTGTTTTATAATAGTTTGGGAATTGTAAATCATCGCGGCAATGGCCGCCATTTTTTTATTACCTTGTTTGCATTCTGCACAATTCTGTGATAAAATGCTTGCGATTTTAACAAATTTGAAGTGACAGAATACAAGTTTGATACACTAGCATCACTATAAAACTAGTTTGAATGACATTTTATTGATAATATCAGAAACTATTAGGATAATAGCGAGTCCGTTTTTAACACATGTCCGTTTCTGTATCGTATCTTTATTAACTATGGCACGACGATAAAATCGACTACAATCAGTTAGTATCAAGTCCCGTCAATATATATGTTCCTGGGTACATTCACTGTTCTACAATCTGTCGATACCTGTATGTTCATTCTTGGCATGGCTCACGGTCATGTTTTTCTCTGACTGATAATGACGTCTTTATACTAAATCCATTGGATGTTGGATGTGTACTGATTGATATTTTAGTCTTAGATACATGATATTTGTATTAGTTGTTTTTGGGTTTGAACTAGCTGTCAGTAACTGCGTGAACTCTCAGATCTGTACTTGTGTTTTTTGTTGTTGTGGGGGTGTATAAATTCCCTGCTACGTTACGTCTGTGTTAAATTGTTTTTATGCTTTGTATCAATCTGATGATGAGTTAAGTCTTTTCTGGATTTTATAGTTTTTTTCTTATGTCAATGTATGTTGTACTGTTACATCACTGTCCCAGGTTAGAAGGGGGGATGCCAGCAAATTAATTTAATCCCACATGTATGTGCCTGTAATTCTGTGGATGTTGTTTGTTGTTGTATATCAAATTTGTTTTTTTGTTCATTGTTTTGTACATAAATCAAGCTGTTAGTTTTCTCGTTTGTGTTATTTCAAGGCCTTTTATAGCTATGTGGAATGGGTTTTGCTCATTGTTGAAGGCTGTACGGTGACCTACCTATAGTTGTTTACTTATATGTCATTAGGGCTCTGGTGGAGAGTTGTATCATTGGCAATCATACTATGTACATCTTATTTTTATATCAGTAATAAGAAGAAGAGAGGAGTGATCAATTCAAAATCATGGGTCCCATTTCCTGTAATGTAAGCAATAACAATAATATCAATATATAGACTGCCACTACTTTTCTTACGCATGACATCTTTTCCTGAGATACAACTCTTGAAATAATGGATGTACAAATTATTTTGGTTCTTGTTTCTTTAAAAAAAAATATCCGGAAGTTGTGTAGTATTAATAAAATCCCTTCGGTCTTCGGAATGGACGCGTCTACATTTTCATTAGTTAGTACCGGTCTGTTTGTACATTGATCTACATTATCACATGAGATAAATATATAGATGTGATATGATGTACTAAAAAAAAGAAGAATGCATGCGCTGCTCATGCTACTTGAATAATTTTATATACACTGCTTTTTAAAATATAAATAAGGAAACAGAGTTATATCCCTGTTTTAATATCCTTGGATGTATCACCGTATTCCTATCAAGATCAAGATCAAGATCTGTCAAGAAAATAAAAACTTCAACTTAAAGAAAAAGAGAGTTTTACATGGACAAAAAACTTTATAGGGAAAATTAAGAAAAAAAACTCTATATGTAGGAAATCACTGAATAGCAACTAAAGATCCAAGTATAAGATTGGAGTACAATAACTGAGTACGAAATCAAGCCGGTAAAGACAATGACAAATAAACTGACTGAAAGGGAACATGTGCTAAGAAAACTTCAAATGCAATTTGGGAATATATTAAGTCTAAGTCTAAAATAAGATCAGGGATAGGTGAACTGTTGACCGACCAAAACGACGAAACGTCTAGAAAGACTGATGACGACAAAGAATAGACTGGAATTTTAGCAACGTTCTTTAACAGCGTATTTATAAAAGAACCAGAAGGAGAGGTACCTACCTTACCAATAAGAGACACTAAAAATAAAATGATACAAATGAATGTTAAGAAAGAAATAGTTGAAGTTTGATAAATCTCCGGGACCAGATAGGATACACCCCAAAATAATCAAAGAGTTAGCTGAAACACACCACCATTAGAAGGAAGATAAATTAAAAAAAATAAAGCCCACAAGAAGGCCAGGAAAACGAAAAAGAAAAGAGACATGGATAGATATAAGAGACTCAAACAGGAAACACAATGGGAAGTCAGGCAAGCCAACAAAAAATATATGGAAGAAGTAAGCACCAATTATAAAGACAACTCGAAGAAATTCTGGTCATATATAAAGAGCAAAGGTCAAGAATGGACAGGTGTAGCACCATTAAAGAACAAATTAGGATTTCTTCAAAGCGACAATAAAAGCAAAGCTGAGATACTCAATGATCAATTCCAGTCAGTATTCACAAAGGAAAACCTAAATAACTTTCCTAACAAAGGAAAGAGCCCATATTCCACCATGGATGATATCAAAATCAGCACTAAGGGCGTACACAAACTACTCAAAAACCTTAAACCACACAAAGCTACTGGTCCAGACTCAATTCCATCCTTCATCCTGAAAACAGCGGCAGACCAACTCGCTCCTTTTCTAACAGATCTGTACCAAACATCCCTTAACACCGGAGAAGTCCCACAAGATTGGAGAGATGCTAACGTGGTACCCCTATTCAAGAAAGATGAAAGACATTTAGCTTCCAACTATAGACCTGTATCATTAACTTCCATTACATGTAAGGTCTTGGAACACATAGTCCACAGCAGCATTATGGACCATTTTGACAAACACAACATACTTACCAACGCACAGCATGGGTTCCGCAAAAAACGATCATGCGAATCACAACTTATAATAACAATCAACGACATTGCAAAAAAACTGGAAAAAGGATCCCAAGTTGACATCATCCTTCTTGACTTTGCAAAGGCATTCGACAAAGTACCACACCACCGCCTTTTACACAAACTAGAATTTTATGGAGTAAACCCTAAAGCTACAAAATGGATTCAATCATTCCTTCAAAACAGAATGCAAAGCGTAATATTAGAAGGAGCTGTCTCCTCTCAAGTCCCGGTACTATCAGGCGTCCCCCAAGGCACAGTTCTTGGACCTCTATTGTTTCTAAGCTACATAAATGACATGCCAGAAACATCAACGTCATCTGAAACAAAACTTTTTGCAGACGATAGCCTACTTTTTAGAACAATAAACAACCAGGCAGACAGCGACCTTTTGCAAAAAGACTTAACATCATTGGAAGAATGGGAGAATAAATGGCAAATGAGTTTTAACGCCAAAAAATGCATAGTTATCAGAATAACGCAGAAGAACAAAGAAGTGAGAGATACATCATATAAACTCCACGGACACACACTAGACAATGTTGATGCAAGCAAATACTTAGGCGTAACTATCAGCAACAACCTATCCTGGGATAGACACATTGATAATATTGTAGGCAAAGGAAATAAAACATTGGGATTTATCCGAAGAAATCTGAAAGACTGCACAAAACCAGTAAAAGCAGCAGCATATACAGCCATGGTAAGACCTTCAGTGGAATATGCCTGCACAGTTTGGGATCCATCGAGCCAAAAAAAGATCAAATCATTAGAACAAGTTCAAAAAAGAGCAGCAAGATTTGTTCATAATAACTACTCAGACCGAACACCTGGCTGTGTAACACACATGGTTAAACAATTACAGTGGGAAAGCCTGGAAGAACGTAGGAAAACCAACAGACTATGTATGCTATTTAAAATCCAGCACGGGCTAATCGATATAGATAGACAACAATATCTAATACCCAACGACAGCCGGACCAGAGGTATAGGCCGCTTCTACCAAGAGAGAACAAAAACCGACACCTATGGACAGTCATTCTTCCCAAAGACCATCAGGGATTGGAATCAACTTCCAGCTAAAACAACATCGACTGACTCGATAGAGGGATTCAGAGCTGCTCTGAAAGCAGGATCTGGAAGGAAGTAAACAGAATAGCGTGTACATAATTTTAATTGTAAATTGGCGAACGTTTTAAATGTAAATAACCTTGAGAAGACTTGTTGCCTTGCCCGGCACTGCGCTAAGTTTTCGCGGGACCATACACATTCAAAATGAATTCGGTTCCTTACTTGGAAGAAGAAGAAGAAACAATATCAGCACCATTATGCCTAACTTTCAACGGCAATCAATAAGAACCAGTACTGTTCCAAGTAGACGAAAAGAAGCACAAATTAGCGCTATTTTCAAAAAGGGCAAAAAACGTATTGCTGGTAACTATTGACCTGTGAGCCTAACTTCAGTGGTGTGCAAAGTTATGGAAACATTGGTACGTGAACATATTGTCAAACATATGAAAAGCAACAAGTTCTTTACTGATCGTCAATATGGATTTATATCGGGCAGATCTACATCTCTTCACTTATTAAATGTACTAGAATGGCTAGAAGCCCTTGGTAATGGTAAATCTATCGATGTTATATACATGGACTATATGAAAGCATTTGGCACTGTTCCACACAAAAGACTAATGAACAAACTAAGAGCATATGGCACAGAAATTTCAGTTCTAAAATTGGTAGACATTTTTCTAAGTGACAGGATACAACACGTTTCGATTAACAACAAAACTTCATCATGGTCAAAAGTAACTTCGGGTATACCCCAATGATCTGTGCTGGGGCCTCTACCTTTTGTGTTATAGTAGTCTCAGTTAAATATTACTAATGAAGCAAGATTTAAATTTTTGTATACTTGCGGTGAGACTGATATAATTAGACTTATTGTAAAATTCATAAGCGACATGTACAACTCTAGAAATGCTTTATTGAGTACTAAATAACTTTGTGGTACTACCACCTCATCAGCAGAGATTATATACATTTATTATTGTTACAATATTTTCTTTTAACAAAGGAGGGAATATACAAATATATATATATACAATGTTTATAAATGTGGTCAGATATATGTTTGTATGTTTATGTATATGTCTTGGTAACAATCCTATAATTTTGGAATTTAAACCAATAAATATCTTATCTTATCTTATCTTATCTTACGAGTGGTAAAAACATGGAATACACTACCTATAGTGACATCACCAACCACAAATACATTTAAAGGTAGACTAGATAAATATTGGATGAACCAAACAATGATGTACGAAGACTACATTTTAGCAACAATCACCGGAAATGGAGAAGATTTAGATTAAGAGACTGAAAAGAGGAACCTAGTTCCTGCATCAGTAACAGAACCTAATTAGTAAACCTAAGTAAGTAAAAGAAACATTGAGACATTTTGATATATTTTTTATATATTTATCTTAAATTTCTAGATGACGAAGTACATAATATAGTTTCAAACTTTTTTATTTGATTTTTATAAAATTATCTATTTTTAAATAGTTACCATATACTTAATCAAAATTTTTAAACTTTTAAATTGGTAAAACATGCTTTACTTCTTTCTAAATTTCCTGCTAAATTGTAATTGCATGCTATGTGTGAGATTCAACTTTGTATTACAGGTTGTTTATATCTTAGACTGTTTTTTGTTTGTTATGTATATGTTTTTATATTCGGTCAAAAGCTCCTTAGAGCTTGTGTTGTAAATTTGACTTATGCCGAATCAAAATAAATTTTTCTTATCTTATCTAATAATATTTTTCGTAACTTTCCGTATTTTCGAAATTAGCACTTTCAGTGTTGCAGCAAATCTATTTCGTTCTAACATGTCTCTGGTTCAGATGACTTTATAAATCGCAAATATTCAAATTTCCAAATTTTATTTTTTTAACAAGAAATACCTAGGGTGGGAATATACCTATGGTAAGACTCTTTAAAATATACAGCTGCTGTTTTATGGAATGATCTATACCTGATGATTTTAGAAAAATTGCTTACTTCAGTTAGTTTAATAATATTTTGAAGTCCTGTCTTGGAATGGAAATGACTGTAATTGCACAGTTTGTGCATATTATTAATATATTTTATTAAATATTAAATTTTTACCATTTAGACCATATCCAAATTTAATACAACCGCACAAAATTTTCTTGAATTAGACTTTGTGCTACCTTAGTTAATCCAGACATAGTGGAAATTGTCCATACGTTAGTATGTATCCTTTATCATTTACATCCTTTATGTTTTCCTGTTTTAGTGCACAATGTGGGCCTTAGTTTTCAATATCTACTTCATGTCCGTTTGAAATGCCACCACCGAAATCAAAAGGCAAAACCCTGAGAAAAAGCGTTGATCGAAGATCTATATATACTTAGGGAACCTAGAGAATATTTTCGGCTAGGAAATATACATTATGAATACATTTACTGTGTGCATTTTCATCCGCTCTATTTTTTCAAATATTTATGCGTACTTGCATACCTTTCCAGGGCAATAGTATACAAACCTGCCATTTCAGCTTCCTTCGGGAGCCCATAGACGGCGTCTCATGTATAGTTTAATGCCGGCTGGTATGAATGAGAAAATGACTTAGATAAACGATGATTCTTTACTCAACAGTGTATTTTTTTTAATTATTGGCTTCTTGTCTGGCGCGTCTGTGGTGAAAATAAGATAAAAGAGTTGGAAAATGAATCAAGTAAGAACACTGATGACCGTAATAGCACTTATGGAATCTAATGGGCCAACTTTAAAGGGTCCGAAGATTGTCTTTTTGACTATAGCATTGATGGATTAGTGACTGCGAAGTTCTTGTAACCATTGTTGGTGCAATTGAACGAACAAATTAGTGACGAAGAAAAAGGTAAGCACTTTGCTACTGTAACTTGACTGTAAGTGTTGCTTTCAACCTATTGCAACTTATTAAAAATTTTTGCCCAAATTGCAATTTGTTCTATAAAACCAAACTGTTCAACTGGTCAGAAATTTGAACAAACTGCTGAAAAAAACCACAGTCAAGTCGTAAAAGTGCAAGGTGATAAAATAAAACATACTTACAATTCATTAAGACTTTAATTCCACTTCAATGTTATTATGAAAAATCAGTTTAACAGTTTGTATAGAAATTTTATTGTTATTGTCATGCTAAAGGTGATAGGTAGTAATTTTGAATTGCTATAAAAATGTCCAGACTAAGCTTTCATACAATTTTTCTTTCGAAAAGTCTTCTATATTCATAAGAATTAAACATCATTTGAATTAAAACATCTTACATTCAGTAAAATATGTGTGAAATTACAATACGTTGTTAATAAGTTTCCATGGGAGATAACCTAAAACATTATTCTTTTGAATATAGAAGACTTTTCGAAAGAAAAATTGATTATCTCCCATGATAATTGAACAGTTTGGATTTATAAAAAAAATTGCAACTAGGGGGGGGCTAGGATGAAATTTAAAAAAAAAAAGGCAGGACAGAAGTTTTGAGTAAAAAAAAAGGCAGGATGAGCAACTTGGCCAAAAAAAAAGGCAGGATGACAATTTATGTAAAAAAAGTCAGGATAAACTATTAAAAAAAAAGACAGGACCGAATAGAGAAAAAAATTAAAAGGCAGAACAGAGATCACAACTAAAAAAAAATGCAGGACAAAATTTTTCATCCTGGCCCCCCCACCCCCATAAAAATCAAATGGTAGCTCCCTAAACTTTGCTACTGTACCCGCCATGGATTAAAACCGACACAGTAAGTCATGGATCTACCACTTGAGAGAAAGGAATATACTCTACTAGCAAATGATGAATTGATTGTTGTTTGTTTAACTTCAAGTGGCAAATATTTCAGGGCGTAGCTAGCACATATCTATAGATCTATTTCGTCAAGTTAGGAGCTGTTAAACTTTTCCCAGAGACATATATATGTCTCTGCTTTTCCCCAATTCACGAATCCAATATCAAAATAAGGTATAATCGAAAGATGAATTTCCAGCTATAAAAATTCTTAAGTAGTAAGAAAACTTCTATTTGTAAAATCACTCTGCTATTTGGATTCTTTATCTAATATTTTCAATATAAAGGATAAAGTAAATTGCTTCGCTGAGCGCAGTTTGATACGACCGCAGAGGTCCACCCTGAACAGTTGGGGCAAAAATAGACACAATATTCGCGCTTTATACAGGTCTGAATTTGGATTGTAATTAAATATTTGGCACATAATAGGTTTCTGACACAGAATAACTGTAGTCAAAGAACTTAGAATTGGTTATTTGAATTTATATTCTATTTGTTGCTTTTGTGCAATACACTATGCTGTTGCGAATTGACCCCCCCCCCCCCCCAAAAAATAATTTGAATAATTTTTTTTTTAATTTCTGAAATCTGAAATGAGAAAAAATTGTCCTCCCCCCCAATTTTTTTTTCACCTCCCCCCCCCTTTTTTCCCCCCCAAAAATTCTTTCCCTCAAGATATGTTTATAATCTCAATTCAAATTTCCAATGGAGTTTGCAACCATAATTACCCATTTAAATACATCATAAAAGTCTTAAATAGAAAATGACATACTTAATCATGGCTAAAATTAATATTCCTTAATCAGCAGTTTTAAATAGTAACTTCTAAAAATAAATTGACAGCTAATCACCTCAAGACAATACAACATTTCTTTTAACATAATTTAAAAACAGTGTAAGGGAGGTAAACCAAACACAATATTGTACTTTTTTTTAATTGTCCATTAACCAGGAAACCCTTGTTTTCCCCCTTTTTTGCCCCTAATTCCTAAATGGTTTGAGCCATAACCCCCCAAAGCCAATCCTAACCATCCCTTTGTGGCATGGAAACTTGTGGTATAATTTCAGAGAGATTCATACACCATCCCACAAGTTATTGTCTGGAAGCTAGAAAAATGCTTATTTGGGCCCCTTTTTGGCCCCTAATTCCTAAACTGTTAGGACTATAACCCCCAAAATCAATCCCAACCTTCCTTTTGTGGTTATAAACCTTGTGTTTAAATTTCATAGATTTTTATTTACATTTACTAAAGTTATTGTCTGGAAACCAAGTGTCTTTGGACAAAGCTGACGACGAAGACGTGATACCAATATACGACCGCAAAAATTTTTGCGGTCGTGGTCGTATAAAAAGTAAACTTCTTAAGGTGAAATCTGTATATGTATGCCAATAGTTGTAATTGTCAAAGACTAAGAAGTGTTTTCAATTTGTATGTCTCTCTGATTACTTGGTCAGACAAAATTGTATGTTTTCATGAACAAAATAATTAGGTGATAGTCCAAACGTGAATTTTTCTTTTTTTTGTATTTTTAAAATTCCTGGAAATGTATTCAGAAGTTTTATGAATTCCTTTTTAGTGCATAACAATCAAAGTTTAATCAAGTGGACACGATAATCTATTATGATATTTCAATATGTTCAGGTTTTGCAACTGAAATCTTTCGTATTCTTTAAGTTCATTTTAACAGAGCAGTTGCAGATCTAGGATTTTGAAAAAGGACACCAACTAAAGGCAACATAAGGAGTCAGACTTGGTCCATGCATTAACCATATAATGTAGCTTCATAAGGAGTTGGAATTATACTTTATAAAGAGGATTTAATTTTGTGTTCAATGTATCAGAATATTTTTCTTCAAAAACGTATTATCGTTTCTTATGTCATTGAAAGTACAAAAACGCTCAATGTTGTGAGGACAGACTACAACAAGCTTTGTCAGGACGAAATGAACATTTTTAATGAGAGAAGTTCTGTCCGTTCAAACGTTACCAACCAATGAAATAATGAATATTTATAAGGCTATCTGCCGAAAAAATAAATAGCAATTTAATTAGTGCTGCTTTTATATGAGTCACAGTGTGACATTCAAACCGGAGCAAAACTCCTACCTCTCTGAAAGTTCAAGGCAGACCCAAGTATCTGTTTGAGCAGAATTCCCTGCTACCTATCAATAGTGCAACATCTTTTTATTTAAGCTAATATCAACAAATTGTTGTCTATACCAGACAAAGTGATAAATAAAAACTGGTATAATACTTCCTGTACATTGGCAGGTAATACTGTTGACATAGGGCAAGTAATTCAGATGTCCAGCATATTTATTTCGATTCACAGAAAAGGTATCCATAACTAGTAAATAATGGCCCCTTTTCTAGTGGAACTCATAATACACCTCGTAAAACTCATCAGTTGTCTGTTAGTGGTCAATTGATCAGAGTACTGTTATATTTCAGAAGAAACTAGTGACTACGAAATAGGTACCTGAAACATACATTTTTCTAGCCCTTGGCCATAGACTACATGTGTAGCAGTAGAGAACGATTTTCCTTCAAAATTTGCTACTGTACCAACCAACCAATGATGAAAACTAAATGTTGATGCTTGATCTGGGGTTTTTTTTTCTTGTTGTGTTTTTGATTGACATATACCCCCTCCTGTCATTCATTTCTGGCATGAGAATCCACTGAATTCTTTGATAAATCATTAGAACTCTGTCTTGTACCTAAAGAAAAGAACAATTTGTGATTCTTTATTCCTCTATCATGACTAGCAGAAATTTCTTTTTATTCATGTAGCATTTATTGATTCATATTCCATACATAAATATTTCTGTAAATGCCCTCTGAATATGATAAATATATGTCATGTATAATTAAAAAGTATGAGATTGAACTAACACTTGAAGATCAGTGAAGATAGTTTACTTTGATCATATGATATTTTTAATACAAAATTACTGGCATATATATATATTGTATATATAGTAATAACATACATATACAATTTCCATAAAATATTCCTGTACTTTTAATATTTTTTAGCTAAACAAAAAAAATGCAATGTTTCTAGATCATTTTTGTATGCAGCTTTTTATTTTTTAAAATGCTAAAAACCAGGTTTTCACAAATTTTTAATGATCGGAAAAAAATGTATTTTCTAATAAGTTGTGTCTCTATGAAAAATGAACATGAGGATTGAAATCAAACATTTAGTTTGTAAAGCATTGGTTTTGTCATGAGTGGTTCTTTTTTTGGCACAAACATTAAGTATGAAAAGCCTTAGCAAAACAATTTATAGTTTTACATGTCATGATAAACATTTTTTTTTTACTATTTTCTTTCTTTTTAAATTGACTTGTCATGACATGTAAAACAGACATCAACTGTTTTACAGAAAATCCACAATATTGGTTACCTGTCATGTTTAGTGACTTAACAACAGACATTATTGGGTAAGCATTACAAGGAACTAATTAAATCCTGAAAAACTGAACTAGATTAATAGTCTTAAAATGAGGTCAAGGACATTTTTTAATTTAGACATGCCAAATGAGCATATATTTGTTACGAATCCACATATCAACTATTGTTTTCCAATCATTGATAGTGAATGAGAAACAGAACTAAGCCTGAAAACTTTATACCACTGGAGCATGAAAATGAGATCAAAGTCAGGTGACAAAAAATTGAATTAGTAACCTCAATACAAATTTGGGAAAACCATATGAAAATTGGGAAATTTAGCTTTAATAATTATTTCATGTCAATGCTTTCCTCAGACAAATAATGATGTCCTGCCTTAATTGAATTTTCACATTCGAGACAGAATACAAATCATTTTGCTTTGGCATTTAGTTATGTTTTGCAATATGAGATCATTTGACAAACGAACACAATATGCTAATTCTATTTACTGAAAATTGGAGAGAAAAAAAAGGTTTTACTTACATAAAAGCAAGTGGTTTCACTTTCCATTTGATTGCTATTTTATTTATTTTTATTTTTTTATTCTGATGGAATTAAATAAAAATTACTCATATTTGAGGATTTATTATGTTATCCATACATAAAGTAACTTTTTAAATATTTATTCTATACCCTTTCTGATAAATAGCTAATACTTGCTAGAAATTGAAATAAAATGGTCCATTAGCTTGAATTAAAGTGTTAAAAAAAATCCCAGCATTTAAATGAATTACTATGAAACCTATCTCAATTATTACATTTGGAAAGTCAAGCATCTCACTTAATTTCAAAGAACAATTTTAGAAAGCAAATTATCATAAATTATATCAATTCTGTAAAAAAATCCCACTGTTCCATATATAGGATGAGAGTAACCCTACATGGGACCATACTGTGCTACTGCTACTTAATGATACTATATGGGCCATATACCATTAAATCATACAATTCTGATGTCTAACTAATGTCATGAAAATCTATTGGTGCATGTAAACAAGTCAACTTTAAAGATGACAATGCCACAAAGGTTAAGAAGCAATTAAAGGAACTATGTTTCAACAGTCCGATTGCTATAATACGTCAACAGATATGGAAAAGGTCAATAATTTTGATGATATTACATGTTTCAATTTAACCCCATTTTCAATGTAAATGTAAACAAATCTTTAATTATGATGAATTCTTTGCCATCTATTTCAATTTTTTTTAATGGCATTAATTAATAAACAGTTGGTATACTATTATGATGACCAACAGATGATCAATGGTAATTCAGTTACATCTCATCTCAGGTCTGTCCCCTTTTCGATGAGATTGTAGCTGAGAATCACATTCTTGTTTGAAAAACCAAATAATCTATAATTATCTATTGATTTTATAGTTAGTGATTTCACAAAAATGTCAAATTTGGCTGAATTGCATTTTATTCAGTATAATTATCTTTCCCTGAATTGAAAATGTTTAGTTGTATAAAAGTTATCAACAAGACTAATGTTTCCAAATAAATAAAAAGTAAAAATTGTGTACCATATTCTAAATGTATACCTTAATTGAAGAGTAAAAATGTTTTTACAAAGTGTATTTCCATGTTTATAGATTTGTCTGTTTGAAAATTTTGAAAATCTATTTGATATAAAACAAAGCACTAAATCTAAATTGGCTCTCATTATAAATGCCCATGTTAACAATATTAATAAGACTGATACAATAATGTTTTGTAAAGTACAAACCTGAAAAGTGTCAGTTCTTGGATTTCAAAAAAATCCACGATACTACTTTTGCATCAATTCAATTCATTACAACATTATCACAGACAATTATATTGCACAGATACTTCAATAAAATGGACAACTCATACTATAAGATACATAAATAATATTATAGAAATAAGAACATTTATATCTGGAACAAACTAAATGATTCAATACATCTACAGGCATACTTAATACAGACAAACTAGCTCAAAACTTAATAAGTAGATTCAATACATCTACAGGCTTACTTAATACAGACAAACTAGCTCAAAACTTAATAAGTACAATTAAAATCACTTCAATTTGAATGAGCATGTGTGACAGGGGAATTGCCATTTTAATAGCCATGTTATATTTCAGAAATAAGAAAAGTGATTTCTGGAAAAGATTAAATGACTCATAATTTCTGCTATCATAATTAAAACAAATATAGCTGAAAACTTAACAAGTGTAATTAAAATCATTCAAATTTGCATGAGCAGGACAGAGGGAATTGCCATTTTAATAACCATGCACACAAAATGTTTTTTTAAAATTTAGACCACAAATTGTAAAAAACACAGAAACAAATTTTAATGCCATGACATCTTATCTTCTGGTTCTCAAATACTTGCCTTTTTTTCAAATGAATTATGAGGAGTATGCTTAATTTGCATATTATTTTACACAATTTTTTTTTTATTATCAAGATTGTATCTCCCACACATGATGATTTTTGTCAATCTTTTAAAGAAATTTGTATTCAATGTTATTTCAGCAACAATAAAATAAATGGGCATGTTTTATTGTCATCTATCATCTTATTATTACATATAGACATTAGAAAACATACTCAAACATTTGAGACCTGAGCTAAAATGGATCTCCTTATTTTTACAGTATCTCAGGTACATGGAAACCATTCTAGATCCCTCATGAGATACATTTACAGATACATGTTTTTAAATCAATGCTGTATCTAGTTGAGGAATATTCAAAAGTGCATTAGCTTCAGAGGTAAAGAAAAATCTGAATTTATGTTTAAATTTGTGCATTATGTTCTGAATGTATATGTCCCAACTTTCACTTTCAAATTAAAAGGTATAAATGACACTGCTCAGTTGAAACAATGGGTTTTATTTAAACGTCCCTAACTTCCAACTATAAAAAATTGGTAAAAATCTAGAAATTAATATTGAAGTTAATTAAGTAAATCAGACCAAAACAAATCCAAGAAATTGCTGAATTTACCCTTTAGTAATTCCAGTCAATGGAAAAAACTATTTTAATGGCAGTAAAAACAAGCCAGAATGGCAGTGACTGAGAAACAAGTATAAACTTGTATAGTTATCATAAACTTAAGTATTAAGAACAGGCTTAAAATATCTGTTCTTTTATATGATTGACAGACTGACTGCTTCTCCTGAGTAAGGAGGGTATACAATGAACAAATTCACTAAGACTCTTCCTTATTTGTGTTTATGATATATAATTATAAATGACATTTTTTTTAAAAGCAGCTGAAATGTTGGTTTTTAAATTAATTTTTATCTTAAAATTTGTAAACGTTTTATATCTTGCTTCAAAAGGAGGGAGTATACTGGTTAACATCTGTCGGCCTGTCCGTACCTCCCATAAAATTTTGGTAAAGTTTATCTCAGGAACTAAAAATCAGAGCTTCCTGAAATTTGGTATGCAAGCTTCATGTGAGCATGAATTACTGTGCAATGCATTTTCAGGTTCATTGCTCATCCACTTCCTGTTTACCAAATAACTGTATATTCTTACACATAATACCATGTATAAAATTTGTGTTGCATGATGTCTATTTTCAGGTCACACTACAATGTATGTGATTTTTATCTTTTAAAATACAAAATTATTCTCCAAGGGTAAAAATGACATAATTAACATAAAAAAAATCGAAAAATAATTATTTAAGTTTGTACTACTAATTGAGAAAGATTGCATAATGAAAGAAAATATATATTTCTAAAAAATAATAATTAATTAGATATTTTAGAAAATTTCTAAAAAAAAATAAACGGACAATTTCTAAAATCTACAATAAAGTAAATATTTAAATATCAGACTGAAACACCATTATAGTCATGATTCTCTGAACTGCTAAACTAAATAGGTAATGAAAATCTAAATGTTAAAACTGCAATACCAGTACTTTATATCTTTAAAATAATCTGTGCCATTTATTTCCTTGAACAAGCTATTGTAATGCAACAAAATCTTGTTAGGGAAAATTTCACTATCATAAAAAGTACATTTGGAGTCTCATTTGCTCAAATCCCCTTCTTTGGTGGCAGAAATCTGATAGAAATAAAGTCAAACTTCTACATTAAAATGATGAAAATGATCATTTCTATTATGATTTATCCTTAGATTTCTAATGCAATGTTCCTTTTAAGTTTCGGACCACTTTCAATGCTCCAGTAAAATCTGCTGTAACCATAACTTCTCCTTCATCTTCATCTGAATCTTCTGCATATTTCTTCTTACTATTTGGTTTTAATAAGGAAGGCTTGGGAGCAAAGATGGCTGCTGTTACAACAGCATTGTGAACTGCAAAATGAAGAGATACATAAAACAAACTATAGAAATGATGCATTGTTTTGTTGCATTTCTTGCTAAATACTACAATTACACAATTTTGTATTTCATTCAAATTATTTCTCTTTCAGAGTCCACCAAGGACCCTTAAAAACATGGGACAATGATGATACCTGAATAGATTGTATCATAGAATGTATTATTAACTTGTTGCTATAATTTTAGAAAAACAGTATTAGTCAAAGTCCAATGGTGATATTAGAAAATACTCGGCACTCTGATTTTGCATTATTTATATTCTTGTTTAAAGATTTTTTTTGGTGTTCTGTTAATCTCTTTTTCATTGCTTCTGCCTGATATGTGTAATTCCCCTGTATATTGGATACAAAGATAATTCAAATTTGCACATTTCAAGAATGTCAGTTGCCTCTGGGAATAAGTAAGTGGTGATGAGGAAAGTGTTTTTAGCAATATGTTTAACATATCTGTTTCATAACATGTAAAAATAAAATTTTATGTCTTCATGTGCACTTATCATCATATTTATATATGTCATGAAAGTCTGTTACTTTTACAGCAGCTTATGCAAACATGTTTTTTTTTTTTGCAATTTTTTTTTTAAAAATCTGAGATAAATATGGCCTACTTTTTATTGCTTCCCAATAATCGTTACGATCTCTACGAGCTGATGAAAATTTGTAGAAATCATGATTCTGTTTCCAGATATAAACAAACTGGTCTTCTGATCCACAAATGATATATTTGGCTTTGGGACTGAAAATGCAAATGCATATAGGATTAATAATTTTCTTCTCAGGAATTTATATACAGTATATAATATTTCTATGGCCATACCGTTATTAGCAATAAAAAAATTCTTAACAAGACCAAGGAAAAACTGGAAATTATTCAACATGTATATATTTTGATGTTAAAAATTAAAAAGTATCTACTCTTGATTCATTTATGACTAGATGTGCCAGGACTCCTGTCATTCCTTGAAAAGAAAGTCTTCATCTGTAACTCGCCATAATAAAGTAACTAACCAAAAATCACCACAACATCTACAGGCATAGCAAAAAAAGTCAGGACAAGATCAATTTTAAATGACGTTTTTTTTTGTCAAAGGGTATCACTTCCATGCAAGTGTATGATATAAAGGCATCTCTAAAATCATGCCAAGGATAAGTGTCATGTGTCAAAATTACAAAAGCTCTAGTGATGTATCTATGAAAAACATACTGAGGGTCTAAATATTACCAATAAATCACTTGATCATGAAATCTTGACACTGTTTTAAAAAGCAACTGAACCATGTACCGGCAAATAAAGTAAAAACAAACTGATATATAATAGACAGTAACTTCAGAACATAAGCCAACTTTACACAAATTATGTATTATTAAGCTCTTCTTCTTTATATATACAAAACTTTTTAACCCTGCCACTAACTCCTGCACTGCTGGAATAGCATACTAGTCTCATTTTTTTTAAACAATTCAGCTTCTAACTCCCTCAGGCAAATTTGTCCTTAGATAAATCTGGTTATTCTTTTAGACTCCATTTGATCGTAAACCTCTTCACATGTTTAGGTCATTATACATCCTTAACTTTCAATTTTTGTCAGAGATAAATTTAGGGGGAAGAAGCTAATGCATAGACTTTACAAGTCCCACTCCTAAAGTTGCCTTATTGGTGGGTTTAAAGATCCTGGATCCCACTCCTAAAGCTGCCTTATTGGTGGGTTAAAACATACTGGATCCCACTCCTAAAGCTGCCTTATTGGTGGGTTTAAACATCCTGAATCCCACTCCTAAAGTTGCCTTATTGGTGGGTTTAAACATCCTAGATCCCACTCCTAAAGTTGCCTTATTGGTGGGTTTAAACATCCTAGATCCCACTCCTAAAGTTGCCTTATTGGTGGGTTTAAACATCCTAGATCCCACTCCTAAAGCTTCCTTATTGGTGGGTTTAAACATCCTAGATCCCACTCCTAAAGTTGCCTTATTGGTGGGTTTAATCATCCTGGATCCCACTCCTAAAGCTGCCTTATTGGTGGGTTTAAACATCCTAGATCCCACTCCTAAAGCTGCCTTATTGGTGGGTTTAAAAATCCTAGATCCCACTCCTAAAGCTGCCTTATTGGTGGGTTTAAACATCCTAGATCCCACTCCTAAAGTTGCCTTATTGGTGGGTTTAAACATCCTAGATCCCACTCCTAAAGTTGCCTTATTGGTGGGTTTAAACCAAGGCTTCCAAAACGGTCATATATTCCTGACATTTGAATAATGTCCGGTAAAAGTCCGGCTGGGCAAAGCATGAAACGGTCATCTACTTTTTAGTTTTCAAGGCTTTCTAAAGAGACGGTCATTTTAACATAATTCGCGATCTTAATGACCCAACCTTTTGCCTTTAACAGCCACACATTTCCGGTCATAAAAGTGACATGATCATTAAGTACTATCAAAACAACCCCTACTTTAATACCTTCTCATTTTAATCAAGGCTAATTAGTTGTCGAACAGCTGAAATTTACCTGTTCAGGTGACAGGTAAACTATTTTGAACCGGACATTGATCGGTATATTCAAAGTTATTTTCTTACATTTCAGCGGTTTGCATCTAATTAATTTAGTCAAAAAGATTTAAATTATCAGAAATACGTTTACAAATATGATTAATTATTTGATGAAAAAATTAAAAAGGTGAAATGAAAAATCGTCATAACCACGTTGTTTGAACCAGACACATGTCTCTGTTTGAACTAGTACACGTGTGCGCATGTGCGCAGGTGTGAAATTTAATTATGCATCCTAATTTCTTCAAAAGATGCTTAAATTGTCATTGATACCTTTATCCCACGTTTATTTAGAATATTTTCTTGAAGAAATAACGTAGAAAGAGCTACGTACACTCATTCATGCTTTGCAAATGTACACGGAATTTACGTATCCGTCTCAGGTCCATGTTTTACCATTGTCAAGATAACATCCGGTATAAGATTTTAACAAATGTAAAGTTTTTGACAATGTTATTTTGCACAAATAAAGAGTCTAAGGCAGATATAAGTACGCTGATGTTGCACACTTCAAATGATGCACTGCCAATTTAACAGTCAGAACTTCCAATTTGAATCTAAAGTTTAATATCGTTTTTTTTTTAATGTCAATCATTGGGATGGCCAACTCAGCAACTGAATACCATAATTGCCTTTTGTTTATTTAGTCTTAAGGGATTAAAATCAGGATAATATATAAAATGTCCGGCTGGCTAAAAATAATTTTGGAAGCCCTGGTTTAAACATCCTAGATCCCACTCCTAAAGTTGCCTTATTGGTGGGTTTAAACATCCTAGATCCCACTCCTAAAGTTGCCTTATTGGTGGGTTTAAACATCCTGGATCTGTATCTTTGAGTGTTCTTGATGAAGGTAAATACAGAAAAAATGCTTCAGACTCAAAAAAAAATTTACAAATTATTAATTTCATTTCTCCAGCACAGGGATGACAAAAGTTTATTTCTAATCTGAGACAATGCATATATATTCTAATAAATCATACATAAATCTTGACATTACCTAAAACTTGCTTTAATCTGGCTGCTGTTATTTGCACATCCTTTGTATTTACAAGTTAACATTTTATCTCGTAAATCATAAAGACGAATTCTTGAATCATTTGAAGTTACTAAAACCTGAAAATCATAAAAATTTTAAAACTATATGTGGACTATAGAAAATAGGGTAAAATAAATTCTGATGAATTATGGATAGATATATTTCTTTTAATTTTTTGATAATGTTCACACTGAAGTAGAGTGCCACTGTTAAACAGTGTCATGAATTAGTTGCTTATCTTATTAGTAGCGACCACAATTTTTTTGACTTAACTGAAAATTTATTTTTATTTTCAAAGAAATACATTTGTTCAAAAGGGCATAAGAATTGGTCAAGACTATCATGACAATAACTTAGTGGTTTAACAACAAATTCATAATCATCAATCATACTCTACGATTTATAGTTTTAATTGTTTAACACAGAAAGAATTACAGCACTGAAAAGCTGAAAGGTCATGTGGTATTTAAGTTACACTAACATATGCATGTATGAATTTTTCTCTAGATAAAATCTAAATTACGATTTAAATAGGTAAACAATAAAAATTTTGGGCAAAATATACCATAACAGTACCTGCAAACTATTGGTTTAAATTTGTTCTTAAAAAAATATGTTTTCTTAGGGTTACAATACTTTTTGTCATTAAAACAACACCTATTTATAAATGCAAGCTATTGTATCACAAAAGAAGACATTTTGCTTAAACAGATATTGATTTACCTTGATAACTTTGCATATTGTTGAAACTATGCCTTTTCATACCCCCTGGGTGCAATTCAATACAAAAAAATTATCTCAAACCTTGAAAAATGACAGAAATTATGTATAATGAATCTGTGCTGGCTGAAACGCACCTATTGGATCATATACACGTACATGTATCTCAACATGCAAAATATACATTATGTTTATTTATATTTACCTTATCTTCACCAGGGAGAGGTTCTATACCCGTGATTTTACTTCCTTTGGCATTCTTACCCCTGGTTGATCTTACATGGATCTGTGTATAATACTTTAATTGCTGTCAATATAAATCATTTATTAAACATACAACCTGTAATCTGAATTATTGACTTTTTGGATGAGTACATTGGCGTTGAGGGTCAAATGTAGAAAAAGTTGCTGATGCAAATCCATGCCAAATATCATCATTGGTTCTTATTAAATTGATCAAATCAACAACTTTGACAATTGTTGATTATGTAATGATTAACAACCCACAGCTCTGAAATGACAAATCTAAAAATCTTTGAAACTGAAAGTGACATTTTCTTCACACAACTAAACATTGATTTAAATTTTGTACAGACTAAGTTATCGCACACAGTAGGATGAACAGACAAACAGACAGCTGTATACCATTATACATCCATTGTTTGACATGCTTATCAAACAAATATGAAACTTTATCATCTATCCTAAGTTTATGATCAGTTATTTCCTAAAAACAATGCTTTTATTCAAGGCAATCTCGTTATTATTCAGAAGGAATGACTATTTCTATTATTTTTTTATGAGCATATACATGTAGATTTGTGAGCTATATAAAATAAGATGTAGTATGATTGCCAATGAGACAGAGAGTGAGACCAATGTCATAGATATATACCAGCCATCAGATTTTAAATAAAACTTTCCCAGTTGTATACATGGTCAGTGACACTATTTTACATTTATCAAATGAAAGAAAATACATGACAATACTTTAGCTATTAACCAATCAACATCATGGATACTTATATAAAGTATTATCACCAAGAAAAAAATGGACCGATATCATGTATTTAGTTCCTATTGTAGTCAATAATTCATCAGTTTCAAATCGAATATTATGCAAACTGACAAATTAGTAGATATATACCGGCCTAATTTATTAATGTATAGATTATAAAAATACCTTTAAAATATGTAATAAAATGCTTCCCCTAGCGCAGCCTGATACGACTGCAGAGGTCGAAACCTTGAACAGTTGGGGCAAGTTTGGACACAATATTCAAGCTTGATACTGTCTGAATTTGGATTGTGATCAAATTTTTGACATAATATAGGTTTCTGACACAAAATAAATGTGATCAAAGATCTTAAAAATTTGAAATGGGACATTTAATTTACCAAGTATGGTCTGATATCCAAAATCTAACAACATGGTTAGATTCAGCATATAAAAAACACCAAAAATTTAATTTTAGTTGAAATCAAACAATTTTTAATTTTGGACCCTTCAAACCTTAATATGGACTAATTTGAAAACAGGGCCCAAAATAAAAAATCTAAATGCACAATAAGATTCAGCATATCATAGAGCCGCAATAATTCAGTTTTTGATGAAATCAAACAAAGTTTAATTTTGGACCCTTTGGACCTCAATGTAGACCAATTTAAAAATGGGGCCCAATATCCAAAAAAGTAATACAAGGTTAGAACCCTCAAAAATTAAAGACTTAAATTAATCCCATTGAAATTGGTTAAGAGATTTGTATTTATTTTCAATTGAAGATGTCTTGCTATTGCGCAATACTGTGCTGTTTGGTGTGTATCTCCTGCCATATCAGTATTTGTTGCTTTTATATATAAATCAGAAATAATCTATGTAAAAATGGAAAATTTTTGGGAAAAAAAAACCCAAAAAATTATGAAAAAAAAATTCCCCCCCCCCCCCCCAAGAAATTTTGAAAAATCTTGAAGAAAAAAATATGAACCCCCCCCCCCCCCCCCTCCCCCATAAAAAAAATTTGCAAATTTCAAAATTTTGAAGAAAAAAAATATTTGAAACCCCCCCCAAATTTTTTTTTTTTTAAATTTTGAAGACTATTTTCTTTTCGGGAAAAATGTACAATTTCAGAGAGTTCCATAATCTTTAACACAAGTTATTGTGGAAACTAGAAAAATGCTTGTTTTTGGCCCCTTTTATGCCCCTAATTCCTAAAACATTAGGGCCAATTACCCCCAAACTCAATCCCAGCCTTTCTTTTGTGATATGGAACCTTGTGGTATAATTTCAGAGAGATCCATACACTTACACACAAGTTATTGTCCGGAAACTACAAAAATGCTTGTTTTTGCCCCCTAAACTGTTGGTACCATAACCCCCAAAATCAATCCCAACCTTCCTTTTGAGGTATTGAACCTTCTGGTAAAATTTTATAGAGATCCATTCACTTAAACTAAAGTTATTGTCCGGAAACCAAATGTGTCTTCGGACGCTGATGCCGAGAACGACGAAGACGACATGATAGCAATATACGAACAAAAATTTTTTGCGGTCGTATAAAAAGCACATAACTATACTAACCTCAGTCGTATAAAATATGCATTTTCCATCATAAGTGCCAACGACTGCTAGTTTGCCATTCCTACAGAAGTTAGCTGTTGTAATTAGTGCTGAAGGACCCTGCACTTCGTTCCATAATGTGACTTTCTTATCAGGAATATTCCACAGCCTCAATTTACCATCAAGTGATCCACTCAGAAAATATCTGTCATCCTAAAAACATTTATTATTATAAAGCAATTGGAAAATATAAATTACTTCATTCTGATAAAAATCAGTCATTAAGCTGAAATAAAACTCTTATCTGCAACTCCCCTGAACTTCAATACTCTATAATAAAATCACTGACTGCAATTTCTTATAATTTATCTATATGCCAAAAAAAAAATATGTGTCTCAATTAAATATCTATACCAGAAAAATTGTGAAAAACAAAAAATATGAAATTTTCTATTATTAAAGTTCTAAGCTTGTAATTTCAATAAAAATCATCCGCTGAAACATATTATATTGGAAATGTTACTTCTCAGAAAAAACTCAATAGCAAGAAAATCAGCTTATGTAATCCATAAAAGAAAAAAAAACATTTTTGGGAAATTTTGGAATCGAAATAAAATTAAAGTGTTTCCATTGGACACCAGGTCCAGTTGCAAACAAAGAGAATATTGTTGGAAATAAATTTTTCTCTCTCCAATTTTCAAGAAAAAAATAATGCACATATACTACATACTATGAACAACAACTGTACAACCCTAACTTGGCACATGTTTTAGAAAGTTCACATGTGTTCTCAGTTTCAAGTTGATGTGACCATAAATTTATAGTCGACTACCTTAAACTAAAGAGACATGGGTAACACTATATATTTGTCCCAAAATTGCAACTATGCAATGAAAATTGGTAAAAGTCTAAATGAAATCCATTTACTAGTGAGACTTTGTAGATAGGGGATACCTTGTGCACATAGTGTCAATTTTTTTATATGTAAAAACTCTTACTTTTCTGAAAAAATACAACAGCAGGTATACAAGTCAACAAAAAAAGAAATCTACTCAGCAGGTGTAAATATTCATTAATAAATTCTTATAACTCCTTACCTTTGGATGGAAGACAATAGATGTAACAAAGTCAATATGTTGGAAGGTACACAGACATTCTTTACGTGAGACATGCCACAAACGTACTGTTTTATCCATAGAGGAAGACAAAATAAAGTGGTTCTGAAAAAATAACATTATAGCTTCATCATTTTTGAAAACTGTAATTAAATCTGTCATAAATGACCTATTTCTTCAATTTATATTTTCAAGCTGATATAACAGTTTTAATTTTCAAGATTTTGTAAGTATCTTGGTAGGAATAATTTTCATGGTTTTATAACATTGGGATACAAAACAAGTATTTTTTCCATGTTACTATTTTTTGCACTGTACAATATATATATACATGCAGTTTTCTGAGGGTAATTTTTAGCATTCTACCATATATATATATATGCAGCTTATCAACTTACTGTACACCAATTGATACTTTTACAAAAAATACACAACAGGTACTTTTACTGTAATCAGGTGTTATACTTTTGGGCAATATCTTGGTACCTTGTAAATCAAAGAGATATAATGCTGACACAAAGCTCATAATAACTGTGTGTCAAGGGTAAGCTGTTCCTGATCAAATGGTGGAACCCCTTGTGTTGATCATGGTTATCAAAACTCAAGTGACAAGTCACGTTTCATGATGTCCACAACAAGAAAAGAAGGACAGGATTGTGGCTACAAACAAATGGAAAATATCATTGGTTATCCGCCCAACAGTTATTATTCCATGATGGCATCCTTTTCAACTTTCAGGGATTCTGAGTTGACTTCAACTTTATCGTTACAACCCTCTATCAAGGAAAACATAATAGGATAGGCAAGATCTACTGGAATTTGCAAGTAAAAAAATTAAGGGAATATAAATTGCCACAAATTTGTCAAACTTAGATCTGCTCTGATATGAATGTATCAACAAAGTTAAAAATCACAAATATATATTGATGCAGTTGGCTAGAAAGGACTAAATGCAAAAAAAGTAGACAGGAAAATATGTTGAACTGTGAGCTATGGCTCACTTATACCTTCGCTAAAAGTATTCAATTAACAGGAAGTTGATAAGTAATTGATGCCAAAATGCATCACACTGTACGGCATGCCAACATGAAACATGATTCCAAATTTTAGAAAACCTTGATTTGTATTTCCTGAGAAAAATGTGACAATAAGTTTCATACTTAGCAGTTATGTGTAAGAACAGCATCATTCAGTATAGCATGCTCACATCAATCTTGATACCAAAATTTCAGGAACCTCTCACTAGTAGTAACTAAGAAAAATGCAACCTTTGGAGCAGGGGTTCAATAAATTGGTTTTCAGTATATACTCCATTTACATGTGCTACACAAAAACAGGAAAAGTTCACAATGGGAAAATTTTAATCATCTGGTTTGTCTTTTAGTTTTAATCAACATTCAATGTCAATTACTTGATCTAAGTCAAAATTTGCAGTAGACCTAACAGTATAAATGGTACCTTTAAATGTCCATAGACTTCTGTTGTTTGGTGTTGGTCTCAGTTGACATTTATGCTTCATCTCCTTTGTTTCATATCTATATGTTGTATTACTGTGATAAATTATTGATCAGAGAATTATATCTATATCATATATATTTTAAATTGTATTTACTTTTGACCAGGAGACATCCAATACATCAGCAGTGTGTCCTCTAAATGTACAAAACGGTTTTGGCATGAATGGTGCTATTAAATCTTCAGGGTCATGGCCTCCGCTAGCTTGTTCCTGGTTAAAAAAAACCAGTTCATATCAAACATATGTAAACAAAGACTTTAAATATGACAAGCTTTCTTTTTTTACTAAATCAAAATTATACAACTGTGAATTTAATGCTTTCAACAGTGTTGAAATTTTGAATTATTAAAATAATATATTAGATTGATCTTTCTTTTTTTGAGACAATGGGATTACTTTTTTTAATTTTTTTTAGGACGAGACTAGATACATATGGCACAAATTTCAAATGATTTTTTTATAACTATCAAACAATTATACAATTAAAAAGACAGGATCATCAGATGGTTCAAATTCACATGAAATACCAAACTATATGAAAACTATTTAAAAAAAAACAAAAACAAATAAATGGAGAATGTGTCCCATGGACACAGATGATGCCCCTGCTTGCATATAATGTTATAAAGGGGCATAACTCGAGAACGGTAAAAGTGACACCACCCAAATTCAAACTTGATCTGTGTTTTGTGGTAATTGGCATTGTGTATAAGTTTCAAAATATTTGGTTGAGGCAAACTAAAGTTAGAGAACGAAAAACCAATTTCGGTACGTACGTATGGACAAGGGTAATACTTCAAGCCCCCTCCGGTGATGGCTGGGGCAAAAAAAAATGTAACCACACAACTTCAATCTACAAATGCAGCAGTGTTTCTAATCAATTGATCAATCAAATCTCATGTCAAACTAACAATTAAGATACACTTCCATGTCATATCAAAATGTTTTCTTTATTTTATTAAATAATAACAATAGCAGATTTCTGATACTTTTTGTTTAATTTTTTACCAACTTATCAACAATGATTTAGAGCTTGACATATTGCATGGACACCTGTCTATTGTCTGACTGTATGTTGCCCTCTAGATGTCTATTTGTGTTGCTGGGTCTCTATCTCATGGACCCATGCCCCAAATCTCATTCTATTCATGAACTATTATAAAGGATTTTGAATCTAAGACTACCTACAAATCAAAAGCCACTAAATTAACAGCTGTTCTTTTGAAATTTGAAGAACTTTACAATTAATAACCACTGACATAACAACAGTTCGTTTGATTTTTGGAGAAAAAAACTAGTACAATAAAAAAAAAAACACCAACAAAACAACTGTTTTTAAATTTTTAGACAAAAAAGTAGTACAATTAAACGCCACTGACATAACAGCTGTTCTTTTGAATTTTGGAGAAAATAAACTGTTGACACAGAGATATGTCTCGCCTGTCTGCATAAAATTCAGAAAATGACTGTTTGATGAACAGCAACATTGCTAATTAATTTAAAGTCCATTGACCATGAACTAGTGGGCAGGGCCTCGAATTGGTCAATAAACTGAGATGTACAGGCAGTAATGTAACTTTATAGAAAATATCTTTGTCTATTGTAAGTATTTCCTATCAAACTAACTTAAGCAGAAAAGTAAACATTGAAAATTGGTAAATAATTGAAAGTCACTGGACCATGACCCACAGAGGCAAAGAAGAAATTGTTGTCAAACTAACATGTACTGATAGTAATGCAACTTTAAAGTTCCTATCAAAAGGACTTAAGCAAAAAATGTAACACTGAAAATTGCTAAGTAATTCAGTCTCTGGACCATGACCTAGGGGGCAGGGTCACAAAATAGTCGTCAAACTGATATGTTCTATTAGTAATGCAGCTTTATAGAAAATATCATTGACCTATCACAAGTAGCTTCTATCAAACTAACTAAAGCAGAAAACTTAACAATTGTAAACTTTTGTCGCAGGAGAGACAAAAACAAGTACAATCAAAAGCCGCTGACATAACAACTATTTTTTTTTTATTTTTGGAGAACTCTACAATCAAAAGCCACTGTCATAACAACCGTTCCTTTGATTTTTGGGGGAAAAAAAACTTTACTGATTGACAAATTAAAAGCATTTGAGTTAGTTTAATATCACTTACCAGTAATTCTCCAGAACTACCAGAAAGAAACGAATTAAGGCTTTCCTGTGATGGAGCAGGTGATATAGTAACTGGAATAGAATAATAAAAAACATTGGAAACAAGGACATTTATGTTTATATCTAGTGCTTTATAAAACTGAAAGTGGGAGACCATATATGATGTTAAGAGCTTTTATAAAATAAAGATTGTTTGTTTATTGAATAATGTTAAGTGTCAGATATTTCATGCATACTCAGTGTGAGAGCAAATCAGCAATAAATATTTTATTTATATGTACTATCATTTCCAACTTGTTACCAGAGTCCTACATTTCACTATCATTCGTTATACAAAACTATTGTCCTTTGAACTTTTAAGTCTTTTGAAAACAAACTAATAAACACACAGACCTAAAGCTATTTGATAACACTTACCATCAGCATATTTTTGTTTCATATCATTAAAATAAGTAAAAGCAGATTTAAGCACCCAAATCCTCAGAGTATTATCTTGTCCACCAGTAGCCAGTAGTCTACCACAAGGAGAGAATTTCATGATCCATACAGCACCCTATGAAAAATATTTAACATAAAGACAAAGTAAAATAATGCATTCTTTTTGTGTTTTATGGTGTCTCGCTAATCAATATGCATTACATTAACATATCATAAAAAGGTGAAAAACATGAAACTTCATTTAAATTTTCTATGAAATCATTGTTTTACTTTTGTTTATAAATATTTGTAGTTTGCCAAAAAAATTATTAGTCTGAAGGATTCTTAATTCCTGGTTTCAGATTTCACATTCAGGACAGAATTTCCATCAGCTTCTGATTTGGGTTTTAATTAACCATAAAATGTATGCAATAATGTCTATATATCTCATTATTTACAATAACAATTATGTTATTATTCAATTTCCTATTTAAAGTAATTGTGACTTATTCCTTATCTTTGAAAAGTAGGTTATACAAAGTAAGCATTGTTTTTATCTGGATTTTTTTTTTATTGAGAAATATTTTTTTTACTGTTAACTGTTAAAAGCTTTGGTTTCAGATTTTGTTTCACTATCTTCATCAGCTATAATAAAAACTTACAGTATGAACACCTGTCATGTCTTGTAACAGTTGTAGTTTATCAAAGTCATGCTGCATTTTACTGGTTTTTGCTTTAATCTGAAATTAATCAACATTTACACCAGTCATTACTTTGACTTTTTATATCATTATAATAACATGTGTGATCAAACTGAAAAATGTGTCTTAAGTTTATATTTCTAGGACCCAACAGAGTATCTGTAAATTTCAAAAGATTTGTAATGGTTTTTATAAGCATATCCAGCAATAAAATGCAAATTATAAAGGAAAAGGGAGGTAATTATCATGGCTTTTTCTAATTTTGTTTCAGCAGGTTGAATATAGAGCATCCCCTTAAAGTGAGACTAAACCTCCATAATCACCTGTTATTGTTGTGATGTGACATGTACCTGAGCAGATAAGAGAAATTGTAAGTGTGAAATGAAAATCTACAAAGTTCCAAGAAATTTGGACAATGGACACAGGACATAGAGTGGACAGACAGGCTGTTTATTGTATAACCCATAAAAGTAATCTGTACAGGGGGATGGGGTAGTCAAAAAGTCAATACACAGAGCTGAATGTTTTTCTATGGAAAATCAATAGCAAATTATTTCATAAATGCATTCAATATCTTGCCAAATTAAGCAAGTACATGGATAGCTAGGAATGACTGAATTAAATTTAATGCATATTTACTTGTAGTAGTGTGTGCATATATTATCTAATCAATATTTGATATCAATTTTTAAAAAGTCAAGTATTTGTGATCATGTTGTCTACCAGTTTCATCATTAAACACTAACCTTGAACATTTTACCATCAAAAATTATTTCCTGTTCAACTGCAGTTTCTTCCATGTGCAATACTACAAAGTTAAATGTATAAAATTAGGTAATGTCTCAAAAAACATATTGTCACATGGATGTTAAGCATTAAACAATAAATAACGAATGTATGATATTGTTATTTGAGTCTTACAGGTTAATATTTTGAAGAAGTTAATTTGTGTGAAAACTCAACCAACTCACTCACAAACTGAAGTTGGAAGGACTTTATATTTCAGCCTTTAAGTTAAGCTACCAAGTGAAAAAATGAGTTTAAACATCAATTAAATCAGTAAAAATAATCTTTATTAGTTATAAAATGCACTAAATTATGTCCAAAATCAAAAATTTATCAACACTATTTCCAGTGTGTAGGAATTCATCGTATCATATCTATTTTTCAAAGTACTTTATCCTTCCAATCTAATCCATAAAAAATTAGAATATGTGTTCGAATCGATTATTCAACCAGTGAACATTTTTTTCTCAAAATATAACAAGATTTTTTTTCTATAAAACTGATGGTAAAGCAACCAAAAATCAGTCAACATAACTATGATTTACTTGTTTTAAGGCTTTCATTCTTTACTTTTTCTTCCATTAAATCATTAACATAACTTTAAAACCTCACCTTGGTCTGCTACTGATTTAAGTCTGTTGGTAGTGCGGTCTATTTTCTTTCCTAACATTTTCCTTAATCTAGACCTATATTTAAACAAGAAAAACATTTTTATCTGTATCCCATTGTTATATTTAGTTTTAATTAAACATGAGATGTTTATTTATAGCATATAATCATGATATTTTCTAAAAATGTCTGTAGTGTAGTGAAGAGGAGGGGTGAAAGGAAATTCTTTTAAATCATATTAGGAAATGTTTTGTAAAGTCAATAATTTAAAATTTTATGCATGGTGAGGCAAATTAAAAATGCTTTTCATCCAAGCTCCCATTCATTTCTTGAATAGTCCTCATACAATTTTCAAGGTCTACATAATCCCACTTGCTCTGATAAGTTACAAATTTAGAAAAAGATTTATTATAATGCATAAGTTTTAGCCAATTCTCTTACTAATCATCTTACTATAACAATATTTTATCAAATGGAAAATACATCTTGTGAAAAGTTGGATTCAAAATTCAGGCAACTAGTGTTGATTTATCTCCTCCTGGCTTGTTTTCGTCTTCTTATTTGACTGGGATTTTTTTTTTTTGTGAATATAACAGATACTGATGAGCCTACATTGTTTATAGACAATTAAAACACTAAATCCCTGGGGATGTGTTTTAGTTGATTTTAGTCTCTGATGCATGATTTTTTATTATTGTTTTTGGCTTTTAACTAGCTTTCAGTAACTGTGAGTACTCTCAAATCGTACTTTCGTGTTAATTTGACCTGTTACACAATTAGTAATGCATTTTTGTTATTCAATGTTTACTTATTTTGTCTTATATCTCGTCTCACTATTTTTAATATGTACCACCTATGTTAAGTATTTACCCCATAGTATGATGATAAATTTTCACTGCTGTTCTCGTACTATGAACAACAAATTTATTTATTTTGTAAAAATTATCTCTGTTCTCCTAACAACAAAATTATTATATTTAAATTTATCTGTGTACGTTATTTTATTTAACACCATTTTGTCCAAGGTCATAGTTGTCTTTTGACATTGTGTCATAGATCAAATTTATTCGTTCAGTGTATGTTTACTTGTTTTTGTTAATATGTCTGTTTGAATGAGTTAAGCCATTTCAATTGATATTTGTAATGTTACACTACTATTTTAGGTTAGGGTGAAGGTTGGCGCTTGTTAAAACGTTTAAACCCGCTGCATTTGTTTGCACCTGTCCTAAGTCAGGAGCCTGTTTCAGTGGTTGTCGTTTGTTGATGTGGTTCTTAAGTGTTTCTCGTTTCTTGTTTTTTATATAGATTAGACCGTTTGTTTTCCTGTTTGAATTGTTTTACACTAGTCATTTTGCTTTATAGCTTGCTGTTCGGTGTGAGCCAAGGCTCCGTGTTGAAGGCCGTACTTTGACCTATAATTGTTTACTTTTTACACATTGTGACGTGGATGGAGAGTTGTCTCATTGGCACTCATACCACATCTTCTTATTTCTGATTACAATCAAGCATAAATGAATTGTTATATACAAAATTTGTATTCTAATAATTCTAAGAAGCTTACACTTTTTTCTTTGTCCCTTGTTCCTCTGAGAGAGACATTGTTTCACTATGCATGTCATCGTCTATGCTCTCTGTGTCGCCTGCATGATCACGGTATTCCTTCGTCAGTCTCATTATATGTAACGATAATGGATTCATTCCCTTTGGAATCTTATCCTCGGCTACACTTAGGGGAACTTCTTCACCAGTGTCCAAGTTGACAACCATAACAGCATCTAGAATTTCCTGTAATCATAATTTTTTTTTTGTTGACATATTTCAAGTATCATTTAAAATAAGTGAAGAAAGGTAAAGGTAACACATACAATAATTTGTTAACACTATGCATACCACTTAAAGAAACTTTTGCAACACTTCCATTGATACTAATGGGGGTTAAACTTTGAGGGCTCATATCTTTGTAGAAAATGCTCAAAATGATCTGAAGTTACGGTGCAGTCCAGTGAATCTGAGCACCTAAGACTTTTAGCTTTACTTTGGTAAACTCATAAAACCAATAATCGGATAAATGTGAACAATTTCATGAAATCTTCGTAATGTATGATTTCACCCGTAAGATTTTGTGTAATGTGTGTCCAAAATTAGGGAAACCCCTGCTTTGACAGGTCTTCAAATGTCTGGTGATTTCGTACAGGCCTTTTAAAAATCGTAAATTTTGAATAAAGGAAGGATTTTATACTATGAAATACAGTTCAATTTGAACAAAACAGACTGCCAAGGATGCAGAGCAAAAGTTTTTTGCAGTTTGATAAAATTTGCCATAAAAAGGAAACCAATTTCTGATAATGTCATATTTTTTTATGGAAAATGGTTAAATATGGTTAATCATAGGATTGCAAATATAAATTTATGCTTGAACTTAACAATTTTAATCTTTTCTGTCCCTTCGGAAGACTAAAACAATTAAAAGAACAATTTTATTTATGTAATGTTGGGGATATGACAAAATCAGATGATACATACTTGGTTATATATAGTAAGTAATGCATGTACATACTTGGTTATCACTTGCTAATTACTTCTAAAACTGTCCTTACATTTAAATCCTGCCACTGGACATGAAACTGACTAATGAGTTATACACTCTAGGCATTCCATATTCTCCCCAGGATTCATCTTCAGCTGACCAAAATGTTTAAATTGAGTGATTATTTCATTTTACATCAGCTTCAATTGTTAAAAGTAATGTTTGTTGGACAAAGGGTCTTACATCAAACATTAATCAGTATGTTTTAATGCTATAGCACTTGTGCTCTTTGTTACTGATAACCAGTAGGAAATATTAAAACAATGAAAAAAGTGGATGTTTAGTGATATTCTAAATCTCTGTAAAGGAAGAGAATAGTACAGTTTGAATAGTTATTTCGTATTTTGGTATCTATTTATTAACACCATTTAGGTATATATTTTTTTTTTATCATTTTGAAAATTAAGCTTGAATTCCTACACTGTAAATGATTAAGGGCAGTGACCCTTTCTATTGAATGCCAGTGACCCTTTCTATTGAATGCCAGTGACACAAACTAATACTACAACCATTTGATCTACTTATTGTAGTAACCTGATCTGGCAACAGACAACCAGAGTTTGAGCCAGGCCTATACATCTGTATATTAGTTACCTGATCTGTCAACAGACGACCAGAGTTTGAGCAAGGCCTATACATCTGTATATTAATGACCTGATCTGTCAACAGAAATCCAGAGTTTGAGCCAGGTCTAAACATCTGTATATTGGTAACCTGATCTGTCAACAGATGACCAGAGTTTGAGCCAGGTCTCAACATCTGTATATTAGTGACCTGATCTGTCAACAGACAACCAGAGTTTGAGCCAGGTCTCAACATCTGTATATTAGTGACCTGATCTGTCAACAGACAACCAGAGTTTGAGCCAGGTTTAAACATCTGTATATTAGTTACCTGATCTGTCAACAGATGACCAGAGTTTGAGCCAGGCCTATACATCTGTATATTAATGACCTGATCTGTCAACAGAAATCCAGAGTTTGAGCCAGGTCTAAACATCTGTATATTGGTAACCTGATCTGTCAACAGATGACCAGAGTTTGAGCCAGGTCTCAACATCTGTATATTAGTTACCTGATCTGTCAACAAATGACCGGAGTTTGAGCCAGGTCTAAACATCTGTATATTAGTTACCTGATCTGTCAACAGATGACCAGAGTTTGAGCCAGGTCTCAACATCTGTATATTAGTGACCTGATCTGTCAACAGACAACCAGAGTTTGAGCCAGGTCTCAACATCTGTATATTAGTGACCTGATCTGTCAACAGACAACCAGAGTTTGAGCCAGGTTTAAACATCTGTATATTAGTTACCTGATCTGTCAACAGATGACCAGAGTTTGAGCCAGGCCTATACATCTGTATATTAATGACCTGATCTGTCAACAGAAATCCAGAGTTTGAGCCAGGTCTAAACATCTGTATATTGGTAACCTGATCTGTCAACAGATGACCAGAGTTTGAGCCAGGTCTCAACATCTGTATATTAGTGACCTGATCTGTCAACAGACAACCAGAGTTTGAGCCAGGTTTAAACATCTGTATATTAGTTACCTGATCTGTCAACAGATGACCAGAGTTTGAGCAAGGTCTAAACATCTGTATCTTAGTTACCTGATCTGTCAACAGACAACCAGAGTTTGAGCCAGGCCTATACAACTGTATATTAGTGACCTGATCTGTCAACAGATTACCAAAGTTTGCCCCAGGTCTAAACATCTGTATATTAGTTACCTGATCTGTCAACAAATGACCGGAGTTTGAGGCAGGTCTAAACATCTGTATATAAGTTACCTGATCTGTCAACAGACAACCAGAGTTTGATCCAGGTCTAAACATCTGTGTATTAGTTACCTGATCTGTCAACAGACGACCGGAGTTTGAGCAAGGCCTATACATCTGTATATTAGTTACCTGATCTGTCAACATGACGACCAGAGTTTGATCCAGGTCTAAACATCTTTATATTAGTTACCTGATCTGTCAACAGATGACGGAGTTTGAGCCAGGTCTAAACATCTGTATATTAGTTACCTGATCTGTCAACAGATGACCAGAGTTTGAGCCAGGTCTAAGCATCTGTATATTAGTTACCTGATCTGTCAACAGATGACCGGAGTTTGAGGCAGGTCTAAACATCTGTATATTAGTTACCTGATCTGTCAACAGACAACCAGAGTTTGAGCCAGGTTTAAACATCTGTATATTAGTTACCTGATCTGTCAACAGATGACCAGAGTTTGAGCCAGGTCTAAACATCTGTATATTAGTTACCTGATCTGTCAACAGATGACCAGAGTTTGAGCCAGGTTTAAACATCTGTATATTAGTTACCTGATCTGTCAACAGACAACCAGAGTTTGAGCAAGGCCTATACATCTGTATCTTAGTTACCTGATCTGTCAACAGACGACCAGAGTTTGAGCAAGACCTATACATCTGTATTTTAGGGACCTGATCTGTCAACAGACAACCAGAGTTTGAGCAAGGCCTATACATCTGTATCTTAGTTACCTGATCTGTCAACAGACGACCAGAGTTTGAGCAAGGCCTATACATCTGTATATTAGTTACCTGATCTGTCAACAGACGACCAGAGTTTGAGCCAGGCCTATACATCTGTATATTAATGACCTGATCTGTCAACAGAAATCCAGAGTTTGAGCCAGGTCTAAACATCTGTATATTGGTAACCTGATCTGTCAACAGATGACCAGAGTTTGAGCCAGGTCTCAACATCTGTATATTAGTGACCTGATCTGTCAACAGACAACCAGAGTTTGAGCCAGGTTTAAACATCTGTATATTAGTTACCTGATCTGTCAACAGATGACCAGAGTTTGAGCAAGGTCTAAACATCTGTATCTTAGTTACCTGATCTGTCAACAGACAACCAGAGTTTGAGCCAGGCCTATACAACTGTATATTAGTGACCTGATCTGTCAACAGATTACCAAAGTTTGAGCAAGGCCTATACATCTGTATCTTAGTTACCTGATCTGTCAACAGATTACCATAGTTTTGCCCAGGTCTAAACATCTGTATATTAGTTACCTGATCTGTCAACAAATGACCGGAGTTTGAGGCAGGTCTAAACATCTGTATATTAGTTACCTGATCTGTCAACAGACAACCAGAGTTTGATCCAGGTCTAAACATCTGTGTATTAGTTACCTGATCTGTCAACAGACGACCGGAGTTTGAGCAAGGCCTATACATCTGTATATTAGTTACCTGATCTGTCAACAGACAACCAGAGTTTGAGCCAGGTTTAAACATCTGTATATTAGTTACCTGATCTGTCAACAGATGACCGGAGTTTGAGGCAGGTCTAAACATCTGTATATTAGTTACCTGATCTGTTAACAGACGACCAGAGTTTGAGCGAGGCCTATACATCTGTAAATTAGAACTTGGAGATGATTCTGAATCTGATGAAATCTTTAATCTGTCTTCTGACTTAAAGAATCTTGGTTTGTCTGAGTTGATGGCATGTCCATCTACATCCTACAAAAGAAATCATGATGTAAGACTGACTTAAAATGATAAAGTTGACAACATAGTCTCCCTCAAAGTAGTGTACCCTAAAGGAGAAGTTTTGTCTATCTGAATGACACTTTAACCTGTATCACTCGAAATAACAAAATTGCAGACATGACCAAATCCCCCTATTAACCACTACATGCATATTTTATGTTTACTGTGGATTCAGTATTATTTGTGGGATATATATAAGTATGATTTTTTATAGTCTTGTATGCACATTTTGGCAAAACCATGAAATCAAATTTCCATCAATCCACCAAAATTTATACCCATGAAAATAAATAAATCCACAGTATTAACAATAACACAATGAACCAAACCTGTAACAACATTAAGAAAGAATTCTATCATGCCATCCTCTATACTCATTATTACATAGGTAGGCATTATATTTGTTGATATATTTATACTGAGCGTTAGCATTGATCGAAATACAAGTGACATTGTTTTTCATAAATTGTTTTGTTATAAACTAGGCTGTTAGTTTTCTTGTTTGAATTGTTTCACATTTTGTCATGTTATAGCTTTTATATCTGACTGTACAGTATGGGTTTTTCTCTTTGTTGAAGGGTGTACAGCGACCTATAATTGCTTTCATCCACTTCATTAAAACTCTGGTGGATAGTTTTGCAATTATACCACATCTCTTTTTTATAAACAAGAAAACTGATGCCCTGAATTATGCACAAAACAAAAAACAAATATGATAGACAGTAACCATTGATAACAAGCTGTGTTTGATCTGAGGATTGATTGTAGAGGACCTTCCAATCACCATTCATATTTCAAATTTGTTAAATATTGGCCAAGTTTTAGAAAGATGAAAATGTGTATGTTTAAAGACATCAGACAATAACTAATCACAGATGCCAAATCCTTTAGCACAGTAATTATAAAACTTATACATACTTCAGTTCTGATATGGCGTCCACCACCTAAGGCACTCTGAAGATCTAATGTGAATTCTAAATCTCTTGTCAATTTATCAACAGTTGAGGTAGGTGTAGGTAAAGTTAGAGATGTACGATTACTCCACTCTGAAGGACTGTCTGAAAGCTGTGGAAACAATATTGTTTCTTTATAGATATCTATAGCTACATGTATGTTTATTTTTTCCAAGGAAATAAAAACATGCTGCTATGTAAATGACATAATATACTTTAACTATTAACACTTCTATAAAATTAATGTTTACTTCTTAATGCCAACAGTATAGGAAATCCAGTAAATACATTAATAATACATATGAGAATCAGAGATTGAGGATAAGTAATGTGAATTCAAATTTATACATATATTTCTTATATTTTGATAGATAAACAAATTATTCAATTTCTAGTGAATCTTCAGCAAACTTTTATATTCCTATATAGTGATTCTTTGTTAAGCATTTTTTTTTCAAAATGAGAAATCATTCTCTTGCAAGCTATTGGAAAAATCAATTCAGACAATTCTTATTTTTAAACTTATTAATTCTTATTGGCATGTATTTACCTCAGTTTTAGTTTTTTACCTTTATTCATCATATCTTCTTAAAGGATTTATGAGGGGCCTGATGGGGGGGTCTCATCACGATTCACGAGTTGATTTTTTTGTCAATCACGATTCACAGAAAATAAATTTCCATGATCACGGATCACGAAAATATAAAAAAAAAAAATCTGTAGAAAAACGGATCACGATAGCGAAAATGCGCCGATCACGAAGAACGAAAATAACCCATCAGGCCCCTCATTTATGAGAATTAAACATAAACCAAAACTACTGTTGCCTCTAACTTATAATCTAAAGCTATCTTAAGAACTTCATAAAGTTGTGTATTTCCTACTTATACCCTCTAAAGTACAGCTTGGTTTTCAACTATTTGGCATTGAGCATTCCTGGTGAAGGCAGATCCAGAAAAACGCTTTGGACACATTTTATATAATTATAAAGTGTTGCTTTCATTTTTTGGAATTCACTGAAACTTATATGAGATATCAAAGAATTTCGTGAAAAAGAACCTCCTTTACTTTTTAACCTGTCTACAGTTGGAATGGGCCAGAGTAGGTAAAACTTCTAGATATTTCCTTCATACCACTATAATTAGGATGAACTACTATTAGCAATGTTTATATGTAGCTTTCCTACCATACTATGAAGGTCAAATATACAACTAGAGGTATGGATTTCTCATCTAGCAAAGATGTGCTATATAAGTATTTATGCAAAAATTAGGATAAAAATTTGCTATACAAAATCTTAATTTAAATAAAATTAAAAAAAGTTATTTTTAGGACAATATCTCCAATAAAAAGTCCATTGACAGTTTTGTCCATTAGATTTATTTAGATATCATTTTTGCTGTATACATTTTTCTTCTATCTTTTCAAAAGCAAACAACAATCAATCAATCTATTATTAATTTAAGTTTTCAAAATAATAGGCTAGGCCAAAATGATCAAATTGGTAAAAAAAAATCCCATTTAAAGGCAAGAACTCCTGTAAGGAGTAATCAGTCATCATGGTCATATTGATATTTTTTCTAGATCTTGTTTTGCTGTTTACAGTTTCTGTCTATATATTACTGAGTTAAAATTGGTAACATACTATCGTTTTAAGTCAATTATTGGTTTCTGTCTTATTGACAATTACAAGATCATTTTAAAAGTGTACAGTCTCTATTATAGTTTTCAAGATATGAGAATTTGTATAGGGTTTCAATAATTAATGAAACCCTGTGTTGTGCCTGCTCCTATCATTGTATAAGTGTACTATTTCTTGATTATAAAAAGGCTTCTGTTCAAGTTTCATAAAATTCCATGAAGGTTTGGATAAGTAATACAAATTTTAAAATCTTAAAAAATAGCTATATATAGAATGTACATAATGTTGACTGCTACATAACTGTCCATTCTTAAGTTAAAATTCAGAATAAAGAAGAAAAATCAAAATTCTGATCTAGATGGTAAATACTTGATTATGAAGAACCTTCTCTAAAAGTTTCCTGAAATTCAATTAAAGTTGGAAAAAGATTATTATTGATGTTTTAAAACTTATACTGTATCTAATTGTTATTTCCCAAAACTTAGTCTATTTATCAGTATAATATTAATTGAAAAGTTAAAAAAAATCATAATTCAAATTTTTTCTACAGATGCTTTTTCTTGATAATGAAGAAGCTTTGGTCCAAGTTTAATATTAAGGATAAAATAATTGGAAACCAAAGATATTTATATAAGAATCTAAGGCTAACAAAAGATGACTTGCCTTATTGATGTTAAGGCAAGTAAAGTTCTTAATCTATATTAGATAAAATGTTTTAACCAGAATGGAAATAGCAACACAGCAATGCAAAAAGTTAAAACACAGCATGAATTAAAAATTGTTTTAAATGTATTAAAACCAGAAACATTGACAAAAAAGACACTTTATCAATGACAAGACTTAACAAGTACAGTTAAAGTTATTAGTATTTTTTTTAACAAGAATTCTGAATATTTCAAACTCGTTGGCTTTGAAAAGACAAAAGAAAGCGGGGTACATGTATGTGAGTACTGTAATATAATAATTAATGGATAGAACTACCTTTTTCTGTCCCTGTTCATGAATGCAAAAAAAAATTCAGATTTTTACTGTATTTCATGTATTTAAAATATACATTCTAAATAGCTAAAAAAAACAGTTATACATTTTGACTATACATGATATTATTTTTCAGTTATATAAGGTTTTGGGAAGTTTTCTTTCTCCTTAAGCACATATAGGATATATATTTTAGCTTCACACTTTTCATCTAGATCTTCATTTGAAAATAATCAGAAATGCAGTCATAGTTCAAGTTTCAATCATCATTTTTCATCAAAGGTTTCTTCATAAACCTAAGCAGGGTCCAACTGCATTCTTTAAATATAAAAATAGATATCATGTTTATTTAAGAATTAATTCATGATGGCCATGGTTTATTGGAGATTGTTACTATGGTTGCATTGTTGATGGCCATGGTTTATTGGAGATGGTTACTATGGTTGCATTGTTGATGGCCATGGTTTATTGGAGATGGTTACTCTGGTTGCACTGTTGATGGCCATGGTTTATTGGAGATGGTTACTCTGGTTGCATTGTTGATGGCCATGGTTTATTGGAGATTGTTACTCTGGTTGCATTGTTGATGGCCATGGTTTATTGGAGATTGTTACTCTGGTTGCATTGTTGATGGCCATGGTTTATTGGAGATTGTTACTCTGGTTGCATTGTTGATGGCCATGGTTTATTGGAGATGGTTACTCTGGTTGCATTGTTGATGGCCATGGTTTATTGGAGATTGTTACTCTGGTTGCATTGTTTGTGTAAAATTTTAATGCTTGGGGTTCAATCTGACAAATGATGCATTACCAGTGATAAAATCATTAATAAAACATGGCTACCATGAATCAATTTGATTCTAGTAGGAAAATACAGAACTTACTTGCTTTCTCATAAGACATGTTTGATTTAGGAAGTGATTTAAATTTGATAAAGCAAAAAAATGTTCTATAAAATTTTGTGTTTTTAAATTAACAAATGTAATTAGAATTTCTTCTTATGAGATTTTATTGAATTTCATAAACAAGCAACACCCACAGAAATGTCCATTTTGATCCCCAGTGTCATTCAAATACAACTAACATTGCAAGTTCAATTGTGACAATAAGCATATGTGTTTAGTTGGTACTTGAACACAGCTTTGTTTTCAAAGTGAAAGAAGAGCATCATTTTAGAAAAAGAGGAAACAGATATCTCATAGAGATCTGCAGTTTTATCTTTTTCATATTTCTTTTTCATTTAGTCTTTAGACAGGTCATTAAAAAACATAACTAATAAATATGTTCACTTAGACCTGTTATTGCAAAAAAAAATAAATGGGGAATGTGTTCATGGGACACAGCTTGCATATAACGTTATAAAGGGACAAAACTCAAGAACTGTAAAAGTGATGCAATCCAAAGTTGTACTTGATCTGAGTTTTGTGGTATTAAGCATTGTGTATGCGTTTCATAACATTTAGTAGAGGCAAACTTAAGTTAGAGAACGGAAACGAAAAATTCAGTAATTTTTCCATTTGTAAAGGAGAATAACTGTAGAACGGTAAAAGTGTCACCACCAAAATTCGAACTTGATCTGTGTTTCTTGGTAATTAGCATTGTGCATAAGTTTCATAACATTTGGCAGAGGCAAACTTAAGTTAAAGAACAGAAACGAAAAATTCAGCAATTTTTCCATTTGTAAAGGGGCATAACTCTAGAACAGTAAAAGTGACACCACCAAAATTCAAACTTGATCTGTGTTTTGTTGTATTAAGCATTGTGTATAAGTTTCATAACATTTGGTTGAGGCAAACCAAAATATAGAGAACAGAAACGAAAAATTCAGCTTTTATTCCATTTGTAAAGGGGCATGCCTGATTTTTTTGGTAAACTATCAGGTAAGCCCAAAGGGCGTGCCTGATATTTCATGGAGATAAAGTCAGTTTCAAAAACAAAAAGTCCTTTATTCTTCTTTATCAGTAATTTGAAAACTGAGAAAATTACCATAAGAATAGAAGAAATAGCAAACAAACTACTTTACTGCATCGAATCAATGCAAATCACACAATGCCAAAGAATGGAAAATTTATAATTCTTTAATACCTTTTATTATTTCTGCTTTGAACATGCTTAAAAAAATACAGAATTGTTGATAACATAACGGTTACTCTAATTTCCTTCATGTTTCATTTTCATTTTTTTTCTTCAAAAAAGCATAGAAAGATATAGTCCAAATAATTATGACGTCTTGAAAGGCTATTTTTATTTTTTGCTGTGACACCTAGTTCATATAATTAATGGCGTCACAGCAAAAAATTAAAATAGCCTTTCAAGACTTCATTTGGACTAAGAATGATACAATCTGAATCCGCTTTCAACACCATTTTGCAAAATTTTATTTGTTTGAGAAGTATTGTTGTAGTTCAATCTTTTTCTTACTTGCTTTTAATTTGATGGATAATCTGTTTCAAAATCACATTTATCTTGTCAGCATAAGATGATCACATTCATTTTAGGAAAGCACTAATTATAGATTCAGGTATTGGCAACAAGTCTGTAGTTAATCGGAATTCATGTCATTATTTCAAATATTTAATAGATGTAACTCGACTTTGGTCTTTCTATTGTCGCTTATCATGCTTTTGCAAGATAATGTAATTTATTTTGCAACCCTGAATAGTTATATGAAATGTTGAAAAGCTAAGGCCCAAGCAGTTATTGTTATCATTATTGCTTTTGGTCTGTTAATTGTTGTCACATCGGCAATTATTCCACATCTCCTTATTCTTATATGGTGGTTCAACATTATCAATGTGTGTATATTTTATTTTTTGTTTTAGCTTCTCTCATGCAATGGCGACAGACACCTTTCTGGTTACTTTTTATGTGTTGCGTCTGAATATGAACTGTAACACTTTATAGTGACTGAACAGGTTGAACAAATCCTTCTCAAGAAACAGAAAAAAGAAGACACCTTGAAACAGTACCAGACAATTTTACATTCCAGCTTATAAATGAAAAGTCAGATCGGGATAGTAAGGTGAGCTATCAAAAAATATTCTAGATCAAGTTTTTCGTATATTTTTTTGTTCAAATTTTTACACCATTTAGACAATATCTCTTCAAACAAGCTTCACTAGGTCTGCCTTTACTGAAATAAAGACAAATATTTTATTCACAAAAACACTCATATTTCTGCGAAAAAAAGTCATGTGCAATTTTTTGTGAATGAAAGGAAAAGTAGATCCTTAACCGGTGTACTCGCGCATGTCAATTGTGAACTGACCCTATAACTTTTTTATCATGATCAGTCCACTGATACTGTTATTATCAGAGGGTACACATCAAACGAAAAATGTACAAATTCCCAATAAAAAAATTACATTTAAATCACAATGTTTGTGGTGAAAATGTTTGACATAATTTCCAGAGCGAAAAAAAATTAAGTCTTTGAAGTTTTTATCAAGCTAAAAAATTCTATGAAGAAACCTGATTTTAGATTACTGATTTTTTAAACAAACATGTTAACGAATGTAAATTGATGCCAAAAAACTGAACTATGACTGCATTGCAGAACTAAAAGCAATGATATACTTTTTGTACTGTCCATCCTATCATTCCTATAAAAACCTGAAATAAATATATTGAAAAACTTCAAATATCAAAATTATAAACAAAGTGTGAGAGCACTGCAAAGGCAATTGCCGCAAAGTCAATGTTTTTGTGACTTCTAGTTTTCATCCTTATGTAAAAGAATTACACCTGACAGTAGACTATATCAATCAAATTCAAAAAAGACTATTGACAATTTATTTTACACTACTTCAGAATCATATGGAGAAGTGACTTCTCTTTTTGAAACTTATAGGGAGAATTGGTGAGACTTTCAAAGTTTATGCCCTAAATTATCATTTATAGTTACAAAAGTCAATTGTTTCACTTGTAAGGAACTACATGTACATGTGTAAACAACTAAATATCTAGCACTGTTGCATATTCAAAGAAATAAAATTAAAATGGAAAACAAATTATCATTTATCAATTCAAGTTAAATAAGGAAAACTATTCAGTCGATGTTACATTTGTATTCATTGTTTTTAGTTACAAAATTTATAAATTTAACAAATTTAAGCAACTTTTAAAGTCAATAAATTGAAACAATGTAGTTGCATTAAAATATATACTGGTAATTAAGTGGATCCAATATGTATAACCGGATACATGTATATTAATAGGAGCTGAATACAAATTTTTCACTTTTAGGCTCATTATTCTCCAGTCATCTGAGACATGCATTTGTCTGCAGTTATAATCTTTAGACAACTTAAAATATGGAATTTTGACTGGGTATATGCTCATTATCATACAAATATATATCACTTAAATTAATACCTCACTACTCGAGCATTTCTTTTTCCTAGGTGGAGCAACTGGGAACGTAAGAGTATTATGAGGTGCTGATGGATACTGTAATGTAGATGGTGGAGTTCTAGTTTTTGTAATTCTAATAATATCTGGTTCATTTGAAGCTACTATAACTTCATTAACAATGGTATCTGATTCTGGAATACATCGACTCGTAACTACTGGTCCTTCACTTGCTGAAGAATTTATGGAAGAATTTGACCGACTGCGTAGAGGATCTTGAACCACTAAATTTGCGTGCAATAAAGGTCTGTCTTGTCTATTTGAATCCCCTCTCATTGAACTGGACCTACTGGTCTTAGTGTCTGGAATGGTAATGTTTGCTTGCAAGGTTGTTGGTCGTCCTGCTTCACACAAATTGGAGACTAGATTAGCACTGTTTATATCTGGAATGGATACATTAATATTTTCTGTGTAAACTGTTAATTTGATAGACACTGGATCCTTTGCTGATTCTTGTGACACATCTGAGTCACTGTCCTCTTTGGAATCAACCAGAATGTGGTCACTTCCATCAGAAACTCGCCGTCTCATTTGTTCTAATTTCCTTCTGCGTTTTTCATTTTCCTTCCTCCTCTTTTCCTCAATCTGAAAAAAAATACAGTCAAATAAAACTAGAATGGTTAAAGTGACGCCACCAAAATTCAAACTTGATCTGTGTTTTGTGGTAATTAGCATTGTGTATAAGTTTCATAACATTTGGTTGAGGCAAACTTAAGTTAGAGAACGGAAACTAAACATTTTGCAATTTTTCCATTTATAAAGGGCATAACTCTAGAACGGTTAAAGTGACGCCACCAAAATTCAAACTTGATCCGTGTTTTGTGGTAATAAGCATTGTGTATAAGTTTGATAACATTTGGTTGAGGCAAACTTAAGTTAGAGAACGGAAATTAAAAATTTTGCAATTTTTCCATTTATAAAGGGGCATAACTCTAGAACTGATAAAGTGACACCGCCAAAATTCAAACCTGATCTGTGTTTTCTGGTAATTAGCATTGTGTGTAAGTTTAATAACATTTGGTTGAGACAAACTCAAGCTAGAGAACGGAAACCAATTTTGGGACGTATGTACGTACGTACAGATGGACAAGGGTAAAACTTAATGATCCACCGCTACGGCGGGGGCATAAAAAAGTCTTGCATATCTTCCGCAGAAAACTTTACAAGTGTTGATGTCGTCAAGGAAAAGAAATCCCTATGTTTCGCTTTCCGCGACTTTTGTGGCAAGCGAGACAACTAGCTTTTTATTATTTGATAGCACTGCATACAAAATTTTCTGAAATCGCAGTTATTCATCAAGCATTTTTGTCCATTGTTCAAAAGTAGCAACAATAAATGCAAACACAAATTTCTAAATTTGCAGTATTAAAGTTTTGAATGCAACTAAAGACCTTGATTTATAAAAATATGTTCTATTTGGAAAATGTGAATACATGTCTAGCAGATCAAAATTGATTTTATATCTCTGAAGTTAAACATGCATATCATATGGTATTTTGTGTTTTAAAATTAAATTTTTATTTGGAAAAGCGGCTACCATGTTTTTAAGCTGATTTTAACTAAATGTAATTTGACTGCTGAATTAGGATTAAAAAACAAATTCAAGAAAAAAAAAAGAGTAATTTAGCACAAAAGTTAGGTACTGACATGCAGCTAAAATATCTATCACCTCTTAACTATCGACATTCATGCAAATTAAAACCCCACCTATCATCCAGTATTAAACCTGTTGATAATCAAGAAAAATGCCCTTTCTACCATTTCCCCTATCCAGTCATATACTTGACAGCCTAAAAAGAAGTCCCAATCTAGCAACATAGCTCCACCCAATCTAGCAACATAGCTCCACCCAAACCCTTTTTCATTTCAATTTACCATTTCCTTTTCTCTTTTCTTCCTTTTAAGTTCTTCCAGTTGATTTTGGAATTCTGCATCTTCTTTTTTCCTCCTAAAAATATAACTTATACTGTAATGTTATAGAGTTCAATGAAAAGAAAGAATGTCTCCAAATTATATCATTTTGTAAGGTAATCTTGAAAATATTATTATACAAGAAAATTCATACAGAAATTTGTCAAAATAATCATTTTGGAAAAATTATTACAAATCTAATGGCCAGTTTAAATTTGCAGACTGTTTCCCAAACAACATATGAGAATTAATGCATATTTAATTATATGTTAATATAAAAAAAATTTAAGGTTAAAAAATGCAGTAATCTGAAGTAGTAAATTCAAGCAAAATTTGTTGGAATATGTTCCTAAAATGCAGGAATAGATACATTTTTGTGAATCTTCAAAATCATGTAGTTACACCAAATATGCTAAAATCCACGGAAACCATTTCTCACCTACTATTGTTGCTGTCAAGTAATAGTGGTATGTTCACTGCTAAATGCAAAAACATTTTCTAACATTTTTTTTAGCTTTAAGTTTGAAAAATTTCTTAAAGGGTTTTGTAGAACCCTGGGGTGGAACCATGTGTCTTGCCTGATTTTGGCAAAAAAAAAAAAAAAAGTACTTTAATCAGTAAATACTGAAAAATTAAAAAAATATTTCAAAATTTTAAATAAACCATCATTATCAATCATAAACAGTCAGGGGTACTACTTGTACAAGTAATTTTTATTTACTTGAAGAAGTAATATTAATATACTCATATAAGTAAATTTGTAAGATACTTATACAAGTGTATTTAATTTACTTGTAAAGGTAAAAAAAATTGACTTAGTTATGTCCCTTAGACATTCAGATTTTTTTACTTATATAAGTGAAAAAGTCATCCTATCTTCTTTTCTTGAATTCTTAGGACTTCTTTGCTCTAATAGAATTTTAAATTGTCTGTCCTTTGCAGATGTCTTAACTTATCATTTAAGTGTAATTTCATGGACAATGAAAATCTCATTTGTCTGTTATCTTCAGAACACTGCTCATTTACAAGCCCCCAAGGAGCAATTTTTGAAGGCCTTGCGCAGCCCAATCAGTTTCTTTGTTGAATTAATGAGATGAAACATTGAACTCTAATAAAAAATTATGAGCTAACCTGGGAAAAATCATTAAAGGCATGTTTTTACATCTCAAAACTGGAGAATTTTTGTGGGATTGTAAAAAAAATTTACTTATACAAGTGAATTTTTGAGAAAATTAAGGGGAGATTATTCAAACATTATAATAAACTTATATAAGTATATTTTTTTTTACTTCTTCAAGTAAATAAAGATTACTTGTACAAGTAGTACCCCTGACTGATAAAAGAGGCTTCAGGCAAAGTGCCATAAATTCTATGGAGTTTTAACAAATTTATTGTTTTAAAAAACAAGCATTCTGAGAGTATTGCATGGCAATACATAGTCCCCTACCGGGCAAAAATTAATTATACTGGAACAAAAAGCTAACTTGTTCTCTAACTTGTCATGGTGTAAACAAAAAGAAAATATCAAGTCAATATCTTCAAGTGTGACTAAAAACAGTGTGGAAAACTGATTAAATGAGTGAATTTTCAAGTCCAAGGACCATAACTCTGCACAAAATTATCAGACCGAAACAAAATTTCGAACTTGATCTGTATAACTTGTCATGATTAAACTATATACCAATTATCAATCAATATCTTCAAGCATGATGAAAAAAAGTGTGGAAAACACTTTAACATTTAATATGATTAATAATTCTCTAAAATTAGATATGATATGATGTAATACAGTGTATATCTATTTTCAGATTATAATCAAATATAATGAATAGTTCCAAATATTTTTTCTGTTATTTGTCACAAACTAATATAGATTTGTAACTTATCTATAAAATGTCAACAATTTTTATCTACACAATGTAATGTAATATATTCATTAATAAAAATAGATTATTATCTAATTAAAGGATTTCACTTCATAATTTTTTTTATATATATATAGCATTCAGAAAATTAGTTTAAACAAAATAACAAACAACCTGCCAAAAAATTCTTCAAATAATTTACCAAAGAATGTCTTTTAAAAAATGAGTTATCTCCCTTTGTACAGAAATATGGTTTAACATAGTACTCCAACATTAGATATGGTCCAGAGTTATGGTCCATAACTCTGGACTAAATCATCTGACCAGAACAAAATTCGAACTTGATCTATAACTTTTCATGGCAAAACTATAAACCAAATATCAAATCAACATCTTCAAGAACGAAGAAAAAAAGTGTGGAAAGCTGATTTGACGGATGGACAGATGGACGGACAGACAGACGGACAGAGTGCAAACCTAAAGTCCCCTTCGACTTCGTCGATAGGGGACTAAAAACTTTAACCCAAGACTGTATCTACATGTAAATGTTAACTGCAAAAAAAAGTCCTTTTATCAGTAAAATACAGAAAAATTAAAAAAAATATCAAAAGTTTGCTCTGGACACTGCCTAAATTTTGATCATAAAAAAAGCTTCTGTCCAAGTTTCAGCCAGTCACAGAAAAGAAAAAAAAATTGTTTCGATATTTTGCTCTAAATACTGTCTTTTGAACATAAAAAAAGCTTCTGTTCAAGTTTCATACAATTCCATGAAGGTTTGTCAAAGTTTTTGACTTAAAAAAAAACTTTAATCACAGACTGAACTTAAATGTTGATGCTGCCGACGCCTGAATATAGGATCGTTATATCTGGCCTGCACAACAAAATGTTGTAGGCTCCAAAAAAATGTAAACAAAAGAATGTTCCTCTAAGGCCTGGACAATGATACTCCAAATTTGACCGTCAAAAGAAATATTTTGAGACCAGACACTTAACAATATCAGTGTAACTTTCTGAGAAAAGGATCTGAACACAAAGCTTAACCAAAGTTATATCAATCAATTCATGCAAGAAATATAGATCACATTTACTCACTAAATCATGTCTCAAAATATGCAATCAAGATTTTTGCCAAGTTGCAAAACATTATATACATGTTTGTATAAAAGAACCTAGAAAAAGACAAATGATAACTGTACGTACCGTATGTGTTCATGTCAAGTGCAATTATACATATTATGAAAATATAAGATATTGAGTTATACAGAAAAACTTCCTTCATAATAATTTCATTAGAAAATGTCCTAATTGAGATGAATTTGATGTCAAATAAACTTACAAAATATATACCAAGAAAATGCATGAATTTATATCACTTAAAATTCAGTTAAATTCAATATGATTTTTAACATCAATTCATATTTTTTCCTTTAATTTTTCAAATTATCAAATAAAACACAGTTATTTTTGATGAATTACTTCCAGTGCATGTGACCAAAAACATAATGTGAATAAAATAATCTTTTTCAATTTTTCCAAAAATATCAAGCAACATTTACATGTAATGCTTCCTATGAGATTGACAAGCTAACTTCAGGTAAATTTCTTTCTTATAATTGTCTAAGGAAAACATGTAAAAGGAATTGCCTACAAGTTTCATGCTTTGAATATTGAAGGTGATACATATTAATATCAAGGATTAAATTTCAGTAATTATAAAAGGAATTATTTTGTTTGTTGAGAAATGTGTTTTGTAGAATCTTACATCTTCACACCAGATTTTGCACTGTAAACAAAATTTTCATAATTAATCTTTTAGGGAAACCAAATTAATTCTTTTATTTCCTTTGTACATGTATATTCCCATATAATTTGTAAAGTAAACTCTCTATGAATGAACACGGCTTATTTGGTTCAAATAGTTCAAAAAGTACCAGAGGTTATAGGTAACTACTTAACATTTTCAGTGGCCACATAACTATATTACAACTATCAAAAATAACTACCTGGTAATCGGTCTCAGATACACAATTTTCTTATGAGTTGTTATCGGCTTTGAACTAGTTTTCAGTAACTGCAAGTACTCTCAGATGTGAACTTGTGTGAATTGTTATTTGGCGTTGTATCGATCTGAACAGTTAAGCCCTTTTCAACTGATTTTTACCGTTTGTTCTTAAGTTAAGCTGTTACATCACCGTCCCTGGTTAGGGGATGGTTGGTTCGCCCGCAAACATGTTAACCCTACCACATTCTGTATGTCCCTGTCCAAAGTCAGGAGCCTGTTATTCAGTGGTTGTCGTTTGTTGCTGTATATCATATTTGTTTTAATTTTCTTTGTTTTGTTCATAATTCAAGTCCTAAGTTTTTTCGTTTGAATTGATTTACATTTGTCATATTGGGATTTTTTATAGCTTGTTATGCGGTATGGGCATTCTTCATTGTTTAAGGCTGTGTACAGTGACCTATAGTTGCTAGCCTCTACCTCATTTGGTCTTTGGTGGAGAGTTGTCTCATTGGCAATCATACCACTTCTTCTTATATATATATCATCAGTTATTTATCATCAATGCTTCATTTCTTCCTAAGTAATTTGTATCTTCTCCTTGAATCTAAAAAAAAAGAAGATATTGCAAATACATGTACCTGTCCTCTTGAATTCTTCTGATTTCTTTTAACCTTGCCTCCTCTTCTAGAATAGAATCCGCTCGTTCAGGTCTGTTAGGAATAACAACTTTGTCATCAGAATCATCTGACTGGTCAGACTTATCTGGCTGATTTCTGATGGTAGTCCATTTTTCTGCTGTTCCATCCAACTCATCTAATTTAGATATTTTAAATTTGTCACTATGGACAGTCATCCATTTTTCCTCCTCGTCAACAGATTTTAAATTGTTTAATATGCCACTGTCAACTTCATCTGCACTTTCTTCAGAGTCTGTTACACATTCCTATAAAACATTAATAATAATAAAGAACCTGTGTCGCTCACCTTGATTTATGTCCATCTCCAAAATTGAAACCAGAATATATAATTCTGAATAAAAATATCTTTTTTGTTGATCTTGTATTGATGGTAATTTTTTTTTATTTTCAGTTTATCTCTGTTCTCTATTGTTTTTACCCAAGACCCAACAAAGGGTAAAATCACAATTCAAGGGCAATTAAATAACTTTTATAAGAAGTGGTCTTTATCAGCTTTGTCCTATTTGTACATGTAGATCTTGTCTTGTTGATCACTTATGCTGTCATGGCTGTTGACAGTTTCTCCCTATTCAAGGAAGATTGAGTACTTAATATACAGTCTTAGGTCAAAAATGTTTCACCTATTCCAAATTCTCTTTTTATTTCATATAAAAACACATATTTTTAAAACATTGTCAAAACATAATTTAAGGTTTTATTTTGATGAAATTTTACATGTTAATTATAAATTCACAAATGTATGGTTATTATGAAATATTCTAATGACATGTCTGACAGTCATTACTGAGCTCGCAATTAAAATCTTTTTCACAACACTTGTTCTGGTAATGGTGAACACTCATACCAAGCTCATGCATCATTACCTCACTCCTTGAGGTATATAAAGTTTATGAATCTGGATATGAGGCATTGTAAGGAAAGCTACTTTAAACTAATTATGTGACTTTGAACATCAGGCAAGAGATTCAAATCAATTTCATTATAAACCTTCTTGAAGTTCAGCAGTCTGCACCGTTAGCCACTAGTCTGGTGCCCCTTTTAAATTTTATTCTGACTAGTAAGTATTTGCAGATTTTTGTTTAGACATGCAAGAAAAATATCGAAATATTTGTCTTCCAACTATAGTTGGAAAAGATTTTGGTGCAGACTTGTAAATACTCATAAATAATATCATCTATTAACTCAATGGAGTATAGAGCAAACAGGAAGTGTTGAAAACACAGACACACTATAGGGTGACTTCCAAAGATGGTTGGGCCTGATAGCTACATTTTTGTAGTATTAATATGATTGATTGATGTGTGCTTTACGCTGCATCAGAGCAAAAAGGCTATATCACAGCAATTAATATTAATAGAATACATATATATTAGAATACAAGTTTGACTTAACATTGAAAATAAATAATCCAAAATTTATTACTTACAGAAAACTTCTCCAGAGCATCTTTCAATGAATTCTTCTGAACATACCTAAAAAGTATTAATGTACAATTTTAACTACTATGTATGTGTAAAACTTCATTTAAGTTGGAATTAACAAAATTTTACTTTTTTTTTTCAGCAATGGTGGGTTCAGCAGTAAGTGAAAGGCCACCACATCTGTTTTTAATTAATTTTGAAAGTTCCTTATGGAACTAAATCAAATTTAAAATTATACATGGAAATTTGCATGAGGAACAAAAATTTCAAAGTACTTTACCATTGTTTACACTTAATCTAAAGACACCTAAGAAAAACGAAAAAGTAACCATCAATTTTTGTTGAAATAAAACAAAATTTAAATTTGGACCCTTTGGACCCAGCTGATGTGGACCAATTTGAAAAATGGGCCCAAAATTCAAAGTCTAAATACATTATTATATTCAGCATATTGAAATCAATTAAAGTTTAATTTTGCACCCTAATTGGACTATAACAAACTCTGCCTACCAATATTTATATAAAGAATTTGGGTGAACAAACTCGGCCTATGATTTGTAGATAGCCTTTATCACTGTTTCTTTCTAATTATGTATATTTAACTTAATTTATAACAACTTTATATACTAGATAATAATAAATATTTTTAAAAAAATATATAAAAATGTATTAAAATAAAATCAGGGAATCCATAAGATATCGTTAAATATATATGTGTTATATTACATGTAGATGAAGTTTAGTTGAAATATAAGTTTAAACATAATACTTTAAATAAAGAATGATTAACTTCTATTTGATATTCAGTTGTGAATTTCTCGTTTTTAGGAAAATGAGGAATTATATTTCAATGGTCACATCAAACAGTTACTTAACAATCTAATTAAAATACAGATCTCTGATTTCATTATCCTCATATATATTAGCTTTTATATATACATGTACGAGCACGCGAGTTAAGATAGATCTGAATGTAAATCAGATTGGTTACTTAAGTCTACAATTATGTGTGAATAAAAAAATTCAGTGTTATAAATGTATGTAAATTTATTTCAATTGTTATATGCAGACAATGCTTGTGTGTTTTAGATTTTCTTGTTGACTTTTAAATATGGCATTGTGTTTTAGATTTTCTTGTTGTATTTTAAATATGGCTTTGTGTTTTAAATGTGCTATATATATATATATATGTAGGACTCTAATGTGCGATGGTACTCTAAAGTGCGATGGTCAAGCTAAAGTGCGATGGTATACGCTAAAGTGCGATGGTGTCAAACGCTAAAGTGCGATGGTATGACACGCTAAACTGCGATGGTATAGCACGCTAAAGTGCGATGGTGTAACAGGAATAGGGTTCATGCAATGGTTTTCGTTTGTTTATGTGTTCCTATTATTGTAGTTTATTGTTATATTTATTAATCAAGCCGTTGTCTTTGTCTTCTTATTTGTTTTACAATGGACATTGTGTGGCCCTATGTATATATAATATATAAATTGCTATGCGGCGTAGGCTAAGGCTCCACGTTAAAGGCCGTAGTTATTAGTTGCATATATCAACGACATTTGGTCTTGGGTATATTTGTGTCTTATTTTTTTTTTTTTTTCAAAGTACGATAGTTGTCAAAAAAGTGTAATGGTGACATTGCAGTTGCTAGTATATACGTTCAAGTTAGAATATTATGCGGTGATATAGCCAATGTTCTGCGTTAAACGCCATGTGGTAACCTATAGTTGCTTACATTAATGACATTTGGTCTATCTGGTCGTTATGTATTGTCTAGTTGACGTATATCCATATCTTTAACAGAAATAACGAACCATATTGTAAAAAAATGTTTTATAGGATGATTCCATTAGAAAGTATAAAGAAGATTTTATTTCACACAAGTTCATAACATCTGATTACAAACATAGAAGAAGCTGCTAAATTAAATTTCAACCATCTCTAGAATCTCCTTTTCCTCTTAAGTTAAATTATATTTTGTAACCTTAACATGATTAGTAGAAATACTAAAATTATTTCAGAATAAATTATCAAATGATCATGCATATGATTGTCCTGTATATATGCATGTGATATTTGCCACTATACGTTCAACAAGCAACAATAAGTTTATATTACTTTATCAATTAATTTTACCGAACTACTGAAAAATATGGTTTTCAAAGTGTTTCATACACATCGTCACTATCAAGGTAATCCACTTTTTCTTTTTTGTTGATTTCCATTGTTGTCGGGAAAACGCACTTTAGCGTATTGAGCCATCGGACTTTAGCGTGTTTCATTTAATAACACAGACCATCATACTTTAGCGTATCAAACCATCGCACTTTAGCGTAGACCATCGCACTTTAGCGTGACCATCACGTTTTGGCGTCCCCATCGCACTTTAGAGTCCTACATATATATAGCAGAATCTAATCTAATTCTCTTCTTGCTGGCTGGCAGACAAGGCTGAGATATGATTAAATTTACAATAAGATTTGTAATCAAATTTCAAAAAAGGACATTTCAAATTCTTTATTAACTTTGAGCAATACGGCTCACCTGTGTATTTAAATACAGTGAGTGTATACATATGGCATATTACAAACAATATTAACAATATGCAAAAATAACAATAGGTGGCGTCAGAAGTTTCATAATTACAAAATATCTTTACAATAAACTGTTTCTTAATTTAAAAGAGAAATGTATATATTTTCCTAAGTTACAAAGCTATTTTGTGTTTTCACCAGACAATAATTCTATTAACTTAAGAATTGATTGCCTAGACCAGTAATATTTTTATATTTTTTACGCAAACCAGTATATCTGCTACATAGTATTCATTTCATCCTCTATTACTCTTAAATCACAAAAAAATACAATTTCTTTCATTTCTAATAGTACCAACATAACGTCCAGTTTCAATACAAAGGTTATGTGAAGACAAACAAATCCTTGCTATACATTTACGAAAAAGTACAGGAATGCATAATAAACATCAGTAACACACATAGCAATCCAAGCTGCTACTGTGAAGTCATTGTGTATTTGGTTAATTACAATGTCATGTACATGAAATTACAGGTAGTTATGTTCTTACTTAGTTTTATGGGTGGGTGAACCATTGAAAAGGTGTCAACAGTGCACATGCCAATTATTAGTTTAAAGGTGATTAAAAAGGTGTCAACAATACATGTGGCAGTATGTCATCATAGGTCCAGTTCAATCAAGTAAGCCAATTCTTTATTACTTTGAAAAAGACAGTTCATCAGCATAGAATGCATTAATTTACAATTTTCAAGTTATATAGCTTGAACAAAAAAACAAAGATAGATATAATAAACATCAGAAATATCAGTCACATGTTAAACAGTTTGTGAGTTTCAAAATACATATACATGTAACATAAATATCTCATAAATATTCAATAAAAGGAAAGAAAAAATTTAGCAGATAGAAAAGACAAATTAGTGGTTATTTTTCATAATTAATTGAAATTAGTCTTACTCTTCTTTTTATATCTTGTTAACGTAATTGATCTTTCTTGCTTGTGATATTTGTTCAAATAATTTTTTTAATCATTCTAACACATATATATTTAATCTAAAATAAAGTATTGATAATTAATTTGAAATAAAGCAAATAACATTGTTTTTCATACTTATACTCTTCTTATAGTCATGGTAGTCAGAGTTTGTGAAGCTGATTTTGTTATGAGTATGAGATTGTTATGGGCTGAGTTATCAGGGAGTCCTTGAGAACACCGCCCAAAATCAAAATTGGACTTATAGAACCACACGTGCTAGAATACACCTTTAGTATCGCGCTATTTGTCTGACATTTCTGGACATCACAAAAGCTCCCATCAAATTTTGACGGGACAAGATTAAATGTCTGACGCCACAAATTAAAGGAAAAGTGATTGTTGTATGACATCAATACTAGTTCAAGTGTTGCAAATTCTCAGGTCAAGTCATTGAAGTGTTGCAGATCCCCAAATAGCAATAAGGTCTCCTGAATAAACAACTTCAAATTCGTGCATTTTTCATGCATTTCTTATGTCACAGTGCTTATGTTATTACATCACATCAAGTACTGATTTTTCAATGACGTCATTAACGCCGACTGAACTCGGGTCAACCGGTGAAACTCGATCATAAAAAACAACCGCTGCTGGATAACTCAGACTAAAACAAAATCGGCCTATCACAAAATCGGACTATAACAAACTTGGACTATTACAAACTCGGCCTACCATTATTTATATGCAGAAATATATTGAACAAACTCGGACTATGATTAGTAGATTGTGTTGTTAACGGGGTTTTTTTTCTGAGGGTTTTTTTTTTCTGACTTTAAAAAAAAATTATCTACAAAATATTATATGCGAATTTATGAGATAATGATAGATATTTTTGAAAAAACAATATAATATAGAAATGTATTAAAATAAACTTAGATCCATCATATAAAATATGTGTTATATGAGTTGAATTTGATATTTTTGAATGAGGATAATATACTTCTATTTGAAATATTATTGTGATTTTCTCGTTTGTTATGTTTATTGGCAAAAGGTGTTTTAATGATTGGCGTGTGTGCTTGTTTGTCTTGTGTTTAATCCTTGGTGTTTATAATTAGTATACAAACAAAGAGAAATTTGATTGACAGTGAATGGCTTCTTAACGGTGTCTTCTGGCTATTCCTACATTTTGTATTTTACTATTCTGGCTATTCCTACATGGGAGATTATGGGAAGAACAATAGAAATTACGCAAAGCAGCCGGATATGATGAAATTCCATCAGTGAGAGGTGCTTAAGAATGAAAGTGCGATCGACTTATTGTATGTCATATGCAATGGTTGTTTTGAACTGGGTAAAGTGCCTGAACAGTGGACATCTGGAGTTGTAAACCCCATATTATAACCGGGAACAAACGATAAACGCCTCCCAACAAACTTTAGGGGAATTACGATGACATCCGTACCGAGCAAAATCTACTGAAGTGTCTTGAATTCATGTTTATGTAAGCAGTTAGAGGACAACGATATTCTGTGTGAGGAACAAAATGGCTTTCGTCCAAAACGCAGTAGTAAAGAGCATATATATAGCCTGACTTCAATTATATCAAACAGAACAACATCAAAACAGTCTACATTCGTCAGTTTTATAGATATGAGGAAGGCGTTTGATTCAGTGTCTAGAAACCTATTGTGGTATAAACTTCGACATGCAGGTATTCAAGGAAAATTCCTGTCCGCCATTTGAATTTTTACAATATAGACTATAGACTAAAAATGACTTGTTTAATTAATTCTTTTAACATTTAGATTTTAGAAATGTTTGTACATAAGTGTCATAAAATAGATTTGGAGTAAAATTGAAAAAACAACAGAGATTTCTTTGATCTTACCAAATAGTTCTATAAAATAACATGAAAAAAATTTCCAATATCATTGTCAACATGGGTAACGATCACTGCGTCAAGTGTTCCAGAAAAGTGACAACAAAGCAACATGTAATCACACGACGTTACATCTTTTCTTATTCTATTTTAGGTTGGCACACAAGGATCAACTCCGACATCAGGAAAGCTAATGCCGCCTTCTACGTCTTGGTACTGGCGCTTCACCGGGAATCCAAGCTTGTTGCTCTCACTGTTCGCTTGGTTTCTGAAGAACAGGTCATCAGGAACCAATGTATTCGCTACAAGGAGCTGGAAGGTCGTCTTCATAATTTTTGGGACCAGTATACAGAAGGTGACATAACAGCATCCCGGCTACTTCGCGAGTGTGGCAACATCTACGGTCCGTCCAACGACTACCTGTTAATTACTCCTGCCTATGTTTATGATTCTGCTTCTTGACAATAACATTATTTTTCCATGTTGTCTTTTATATATTAAGATATGACTAGGAATTCTGTATGTGCTATGAATTTTTTGTATGTGATAGCTGTGTTTTAAATGTGCTATGTATGTTTTAAATGTGCTATGTATGCTTTAAATGTGCTTTGACAATGACTATTTATATCTGCATGGTGTCTGTCTTAGAGATGATGACAAAATGCCTTTGAGTTTTAAATGTGCTTTATGTGTTTTATATATGCTTCATATTATTCGTATGTAATTCAATATTTTTGAATGACGAAATCATTGTTATGTTTGTTGACATCTGCTGAAATAAAATTTGTAAACCTTATGTTTTCTTTAGTATTACATAGTATTACATTGTACAAATAAATTACACTGAGATTCAACCAATAAAAGTATGATCAGAAACATATTATTCACTACACTGTCTTATAATTACAAGAATTGTAATCAAACTATAAAAAAAAAAAGAACAAAGAACATGAAAACGTCAGTTATACACAAGCTGTTACTGCGAAGTCACTGGATATTTAGTTAATTACAACTTCATGTAATTACAGGTACCGTATTTTTGTTCTCCCTTGGGTGATTAAAAAGGTGTCAACGATACACGTAGTATGATGTCATATTTCCAGTTCAATCAAATAAATTTATTTTGAGAGGGACACTATATAGCTATTACAAATATTAATATAGAAAAGACAAATAAGTGGTAGATTTTCATTATTACATGAATGTATTCTTACTTTTCTTTTTATACATAACTTTTTAATGTAATTTATTTAATTAATACACCTTATCACTATTCCCGGCTGACCCGAGAATCTGTCCCGCTTGAACTTTTGACGTCATACAACAATCACTTTTCCATTGTGGCGTCAGATATTTTGTATTGTGACGTCAAAATTTTACGGGAACCTGTGTGATGTCCAGTAATGGCGGACAAATAGCGATAAGGTGTATTGTAAATCATAATTAATTTCAAATTAAGTATTGATAATTAATTTCCAATAAAGAAAACAACATCAAACATCATACTTATATTCTTCTAGTAGTCCGAGTTTGTTATAGTCCGATTTTGTGAGGCCTATTATGTTATAATATAGGCCGAGTTTGTTATAGGCCGAGATATCAGGGATTCAAAAACAACTAGAGTAGAGATTGCTCTTTACAAAAACAAATGTTTAGCATTATTTTTTACTAATAAACCCAATCCATACCGCTTTGGTGTTGCTTCTTCCGCGTCATAAAATTCTTCTAGTTCACTATCGGACGACATTTTGTCACCTGGAATGGACTGAAAACATTATTTACTGATATCAACAACTGTGTGTTGTCATTTCTGCTAAAATAATCCAAAAAAGGAAGTACAAAAGTTTTTCTCGGGGTTTATTTAGAAGTCAAGGGAAAAATCCGAGACAATCCGAATAACTTAGATTTCTGGAAATGCTCCCTGAAAGTCGATGTTCCGTACTTTTTTCGTTCAGATTATAGTTTAATTTTGATTAGAATTGATGAGTTTCGACCACAAACTTCTATTCTTTTGCATTTTAACTTCAGGACTGTGTAAGATATAAAGAGAGCGTGGAAAATACATAAATTTCCCATCATTCCCTGTGTTCAAAATGGAAAACCTTGTGGTAGAAGTTTGCGGGGCAAATGGAGCATTTTATCAGGTAAAATATTATGTCAAACAATGAGTATTTGTTGAAGTCTGAAGAAAAAAAAACGATATCAACAAAAGGAGCATATTGGCCCTTTCATTGATATCTCTTTAAAAAAGGATGTCCACAAATATACATGACAAGTTTCACTTTCACTTGTCAACTTTTAGAGAAACTTGTACTTTCGATTTACAAATTAGAAAAGGGTAAAGACCTTTTTTTCACTTAATTGTTTTGTAATTTCAAAATTAAATTTGATTTTAGCAATTAGGCTAGAATGTTTTTCAAATGAGTCATTTCGTCTTATCATGATTTTGTTGCTTCTCAGCTTCTGTAAACTTTGATTGATGGAATGATAAAAGCATGTGTAGTGTGTTTAAGTGTATTTGTTATTGCATATAAAAGTTTACGTATTTTTTTGTGAAGGAAGAATTGAAGTTTTTTATACAGTCATGCTAACTAAGAGCATCACCATTTTAATATATATGTATTACAATTACATAAATTCTATAGTTGAAGCATATATTTAAAAAAGTCCCAAAAGATATTAGATTTACAAAACAAAAAAACAAATGTAGCTAATGAGATAATACAACATGCAAGAGGAGCTTATATTAGTTTAAAAAATCATTTAAGAAAAAAGATAAAGAAAGATATGGAATTGTAAACCCAACAAAATTGGCATGGTCGTGTTCAAGCATTATGCCACACCAATTTGATGTCTAATTCTTCAGACAACTCCAAAAATATGGGGCGATGGAGCGAAATATTTTTGTTTTTTTCCCCTTTAAAATGAGTTTTTTTCAGGCAGACCTTATTAAAGTTTTTTAAATTGTGTGATTTAGAAGTTGTACAATTTATGTACATATTATAACTTGGTTATATTGTACTTCATTGAAAAACAAGGAGGACAACAGATGCCCTAATGCATATAGTTTGATTTATTGGTGCCTATACCATACCAGACTTTCTTGTCCCACTGTGGTTTAGCTAATTTTTGTTATTTTCTTCAAGTAAGCTTTGTCTGCTTGAATTTTCATTTAAATCCATATATATATTTAGGAAGCATAGCAACCACTGCATTTATCTAATAAAACATTTTTGTCATGCATATATGTTCATGGTACTCTTCTTCAAGGTGAAGTTTAGTAAAAGAGATTCAATGGTTTTACAAGAGGAATTATGTTAGTTAGGTAAATGACACATGTTGAATAAAATTAAAATATGTGTATGTATCCAAACCCGGGTTGGCAAAAACCCCGGGTTTTATGAGAATTGCCCAGCTCAGTGGGAAATACATGTACTGGGTTTGACTGGGTTTTACCGGGTTATATGAAATACTGGCCTGAATTTTAAAGAGGATTCAATGATTTATCACAAATGCAATACATTAAAGATTTTAAAAAAATAAGATATAGTATTTTAATTTATAAGTTCACTTGTTTGAGACTCTTTATATAAAGTGTATAAATCCAGCAACCCCTAAGACAAGTGTACAAGCGTCATATATTTTATGACGGTATAATACTAAACCCCTAACAGGAGGGATTGTGCCTGATATTCATATGATGAAGACATAATCTTTCATTCAATTTAATTGAGGTCTGGAGCTGGCATGTCAGTAAATGCTAGTAGTCTGTTGTTATTTATGTATTATTTTCTTTTGTTTCCTATTCTGACATCGGACTCAGACTTCTCTTAAACTGAGTTTTACTGTGAGTACTGTTGTACGTTTGTTTTTTCTACATTGGCTAGAGGTATAGGGGGAGGGTTGAGATCTAAAAAAACATGTTTAACCCCACCGCATTTTTGCGCCTGTCCCAAGTCAGGAGCCTCTGGCCTTTGTTAGTCTTGTATCATTTTTAATTTTAGTTTCTTGTGTATAATTTGGAGTTTAGTATGACATCCATTATCACTGAACTAGTATACATATTTGTTTAGGGGCCAGCTGAAGGACGCCTCCGGGTGCGGGAGTTTCTCGCTGCATTGAAGACCCATTGGTGGCGTTCGGCTGTTGTCTGCTCTATGGTCGGGTTGTTGTCTCTTTGACACATTCCCCATTTCCATTCTCAATTTTATGAAGACACATAAGACACATGTGAAAAGCTTTTCTTAATATTCCTTCTAAAAATCTAAATAATTGCCATTCTGTCTGGATTGGTCTGGTCAAAGTGTCAAAGAATTTAATTTGTTTTTGTCGCAGAAAGCTCGACATAAGGATAGTGATCCAGTGGCGGCAGCGTTAACTAACTTCTTAAAATCTTTATATTTTAGAAGGTGGAAGACCTGGATGCTTCATACTTTGTATATAGATGCCTTATGTTACGAAGTTTCCGTCTGTCACTTGTCCATTGTCCTTAAACTCATTTTCATGGGTCAGTGACTACTTGAAAAAAAAGTTAAGATTTTTTGTAATGTTAATTTCTCTCTTATTATGAGTAAGAGGATAACTATATTTGGTATGTGCCTACCTTGCAAGGTCCTCATGCCCGTCAGACAGTTTTCACTTGACCCTGACCTCATTTCATGGATCAGTGAACAAGGTTAAGTTTTGGTGGTCAAGTCCATATCTCGGATACTATAAGCAATAGGTCTAGTATATTTGGTGTATGGAAGGATTGTTAGGTGTACATGTCCAACTGGCAGGTGTGAGTTCCTTGACCTCATTTTCATGGTTCAGTGGTCAGAGTTAAAGTTTTTGTGTTTTGGTCGGTTTTTCTTATACTGTATGCAATAGGTCTACTATATTTGGTGTATGGAATAATTGTAAGGTGTACATGTCCAACTGGCAGATGTCATCTGACCTTGACCTCATTTTCATGGTTCAGTGGTCAGAGTTAAAGTTTTTTAGTTTTGGTCGGTTTTTCTTATACTGTATGCAATAGGTCTACTATATTTGGTGTATGGAATAATTGTAAGGTGTACATGTCCAACTGGCAGGTGTCATCTGACTTTGACCTCATTTTCATGGTTCAGTGGTCAAAGTTAAATTTTTTTTAGTTTTGGTCTTTTTTTCTAATACTATATGCAGTAGGTCAACTATATTTGGTGTATGGAAATATTTTATGATGTACATGTCAGTCTCTCAGGTTTTATTTGACCTTGAACTCATTTTAACGGTTCATTTCTCAGTGTTAAGTTTTTGTGTTTTGGTCTGTTTTTCTTAAACTATAAGTAATAGGTCAACTATATTTGTTGTATGGAAGGATTGTAAGCTGTACATGTCTGCCTGGCATGATTCATCTGACCTTGAACTCATTTTCATGGTTCATTGGTCAATGTTTAGTTTTCTTGGTTAAGTCTGTTTCTTAGAAACTATAAGCAATAGGTCAACTATATTGATTGTAAGGTGTACATATATTTATGCATGTATATTTCTGGTTTGGTTTATATGACCTTGACCTGCTTTATATTTAGGACTATCAACATAATATCAATGGTTAGTAAAGAAGGCGAGACATTTCAGCGTGTGCACTCTTGTTTTTTTAATAAATATAACTAATATTACATGATTAAGAATTAACAATTCTATGTAAGGTAAATTACTTTTACACATTTTTTGTCCATTCCTAAAAATGTTTACTAAGTTTTAGCATATGTTTATGTACATCACTAATTAATGAGTAATTATTCAGATTATAACACAGATTTGTTTATATAACAATAATCAGCCTTTTCATTTCTATTAGTGTTCATGGCCTGTCCCCTTAGGGTGTTTATGTAGCAATATGATTGTATAACAATTATAATTTACAATTCACTTAAACACTGCAATAAAATGCATTTTTCAAAAGTTTCAAATTGGATTATTGAAACAAAGCTTAAGCTTGAAAATTAACAAGGTATCCTGAAATGTCCAAAACTTGTATTCTGTCTACATTGAATTAGTGGAGAAAAGGAAGAAATTGAATTTTCAATCTTCTGGAATGACTATCAATGGTTATCTGTATAAAATGTATATATTTAGCTATAATACTATTAAACTACAAGTCTTTACTATTTTGTGTAAAAATAAGTTAGAAAAATCATATTACCCATGGCCAGTATTACCAGTTTCTAGGAGTATTGCGCATGCCCAGCCCGAGAAAAGCCGAGTTTTCCCACCGGATTTTCCCGCCGGATAATACTTTGCCAACCCTAATCCAAACAAATACCCTGAAAGATATTTATAGAAGTTGTTTTCATTATATGGTAATGATTGTTTATTGGCTGCTTGACATCCAGTTGGAACTATTCGTCCATACTCAGGGCCAAAATAATGAGCCAGATGAATATTTCTTGCTTTGTACTAAAACAACATGCTGAGCAAGATACATTTTGTAGTTATATTGCTATACATGTAGATCCCAAGGTATTAAACTGTTTCCCTAAAAATGCCTGTCACCCTATTCAGATACATTATTCTCACTGAGCAAAATACTCTTTCCCTTAACTCCTTAAACTATTAACCCTTCTTTGTTTTTTTGTTTTTTTGTTTTTTTAAATCAACCCTAATATAATTTTATAGGTATATTATCTGCTTAAATTTAGAAAATAATGATCCCTAATTAGTATTAAATATTTTATAGTTATAACTATTCAGCATGTCTATCAAATAAATTGCAGTTAAAACTATTTCATATTATGCTTTAATCTACTTTTATTAGTCCTGATTTGAAAACAATTATGATTGCTTCAGAATATTTATCAATAAAATTTTACCTTTTTTATTGTACACTGCTATTTTTATGTTTGACTGGGTTTGAGGAAGTCCTAAACTGGCTTATGTATGAATAGTATGGTGATGTTGGGCGGATATGGATGGGCGAGAGGTCAGGGAAAAGTGGGAACTCCTAATGTTTTTCAAACCAGACCCCTGAAACTTCACAGAAAGATTACACATATGTTGAAATTATGTACCTGCTTCTATGGAATTGTTTGAGGAATTTTTGCAGACTTTGAACGTTAGCCATTTTCCCACAAAATTTATGAAAGAGGGTACAAGCAGGGCTTTCAAAATAGTTGTATTGTCC